TCCCTGTAGGCCCGGCTGTCGAAGCTCGAGGCTTCGCTCGCCGCGGCGCGCGACGCGCTGGAGAAGGTCGCGACAGCCTACGGGCGCGCGGCGGGCGGCGCGAAGGCGTCGGTCGAGGTGACGGCGCGCAGCCACTTGCGCGAGTTGACCAACTTTCTGGCCGCGCTCGAGAAGGCGGACAAGGACAACCGGCGCGAAGCCGACCGCGAGGCGAAGCTGTCCCGGCTGCGCGCCTCGCGCCTCTCGGTGGGCCGCGTCACCTCCGCGGAGCGCGTCTCCTCCTTCTCCTCCCTCTCGCCGTCGAGGGAGACGTCGCGCGACGCGATGCGGCCAGCGCCCCCGCCGGCCGAGGAGGACGAGGCGCGAAAGGCGCACCGGCAGAAGCTCGCGGAGGCGGCCGCAAAGGCTGCCGCCAAGGCCGCGGCATCGGCAGCAGCAACGGCCGCTGCGGCGACAGGTCCTTCCTCTGTGGGCCTTGCGCCTGCCGCACCGGATTCGGCAGCTGCTGCCGCGGCGGCCTTGACTGCCGCCACGGCGGGTCCTGCGCCACCAGCAGAGACACCGGAGGGCGCCCCCGCCGCCGCATCCCTCGCCTCGACGACACTCGCACGGCCGCGCGCGCCGCTTGGGAGGCGGCACAAGTCGACGAGGCGGCCTGTGGGCGGAGCCGCTGGCGAGGAGGCCCCCTCGCCTCGCGCCGCAGGGCAGCTTCCGCCCGCCGTCACCGACGAGGGCGACGCCCGACCCGCGGGTGGCGAGGGGCAGGCGCGGAGCGCGCACCCGTCCAACCTCACCGGGGCGCTGGCGAGGCTGAGCGCGAGGGTGTCCGAGGAGGAGGACGGCTCCAGCGAGGCGGCGGCGGCGGACGACCCGGACCGGGCTCCCTCTCCGCCCGGCCGAGAGGTGCCGCAGCCAAGCCCCGGCGTCGACGGGGCGGGAGCGGAAGATGGGGCGGCAGCCGCGGCCGAGGACCCCTTGGACAAGAGCAGTATGACTCACACCGGGTCCGATTACGGCGACGATGACTATTTTTAGACCTATGCAGACCTTCGAGCACGAGCGAGTTGCGATCCCTCGATGGACAATGCCCTGTGTGCCTCCAACATCCACATAGTCCAGCGCATGTCCACTATGGGTTCATCATAATACATAAATGACATGCACATACGTGCGAGACCTCGGGCTCGCGGATGCGAATCACGCCCCAACACTGTTCACACAAAAACACAACCGGACCCAAGACGGACAAGCTCAGACAGTCGAGAAAGGGAAGGGGTACAACACTGTTCACAAGGAGTCCCCATTATGCCGTCGGCCCCTCACGGATCCACAAAGGCATCAGCCGGTTGCCGCGCTCTGTAAGCGGCAACCACAGCCACCGCTAGTGCTCGCCGCACGTATGGCATCGGTCACCTCGCTGCGAAAGCTGCTTGACGCCATCGTCGGCGAGGAGGGTTCAGCGAGGTCCAAGTTTGTCGACGGCACTGTGCTGCAGACCATCTCGACGCTCACGCTTGGCCAGCCGTTTGAGGTCTGGAAGACGCGGATGGGACGGCACAGGACAGAGACGACCGTGGGCTCATTCAGGCACATACTGCACAGCGGAGGCGTCCGCGCATTTTACGCCGGCACTGGGCCGAAGCTGGTTGAGAGCGCCACAAAGGGCGGCGTGCTGCTGGTCGCCAAGGACGCGATCCAGGAGAGCTTGAAGGGTGCGGGCGTCTCGTCAACCACCGCTGGCTTCGTGGGCGGCGCGGGCGGCGGCGTCGCGCAGACCGTGGTGATGGGGCCCTGCACCTATCTTGTCACTGCGATGGTGCTCGGCAAGGAGCAGTCGGTGTGGGGCATCATGCGGCGCACCTGGGCCAGCAAGGGCCTCCTCGGCTTCTACCCGGGCGGCTCAGCCATCGCCGCGCGGCAGGCGAGCAACTGGGCGAGCCGCGTCGGCTTCACCGAGGCGGTGCGGACCAAGATGAAGGCGGCGCACGGCGACCCGACGCGGCGGCTCTCGATACACGAGGAGTGCTGGGCGGGCATCATCGGCGGCGTCCTTTCGTGCTGGAACCACCCCTTTGAGGTCGCGCGGATCGAGATGCAGGCGCGCGCGCTCTCGGGGGAGCCGGCAGTGGGGATGATTGCGGTGCTGCGCCAGGTCCACGCAGAGAGCGGCGTGGGCGGCCTCTTTCAGGGTCTGATCCCGAGGATGGGAACCAACGTGTGGCTAACCCTGTTCCTCGTCTCGGGGGCGAACATCGTGAAGCAGTGCCGCGAGGGCTCCACAGAGGCAATCTGCACGGCGAGCGCAAACCCGCAGCACCACTGTGCGTGACCGAGTCCACCCTAGAGTCCACCGAGTCGCGAGACCGAGAGTCTGCCCCCGAGAGGAGGCCTCGTCGTTCTCCCGTGAGCCGTGACCTGAGGTTTAGTTCCTTGACACACACCAGACCTCGGGAAACCGAGCCGTGTGCAGGTACAGTGTTGCTATTATTTTGTCCAGTACTCTGTATACTGTTGCAAGTCTCGTAGAAGTTTGAGAGTGAGAAGTGTCGGAGATCGCTCGCTCTCGCCACTCGCGCGCATCTCCAGTTCTCCACACATCGAACACGGTTACTGCACAAGGCAGCTGCAGCCGCCCGCGCCCTCGACTTGCGGGGCCTCGTCCGGCACGTCCGGCGCCGGGCACGGCGTGAGCTTCGCTGCCTCCACCACAGAGATGTGCATCCGCGCCCTCGCCGGGCGACCCAGGAAGTTCACGCCGCGGCTCGCTGCTTGCGGCGAGTCTCGGGCAGCGCGCGTGGCGGCGAAGCTCCCCTCCTTCCGCGCCTTGGCGAAGGCCTCCGCGGTCGAGCAGATGCTGAGCGTTGTGAAGAGGTCGGCCCACTGCTCGAAGCCTATCCAGAAGGTGCCGTCCGCCGCCGCGCTGAAGCCCACCGCGTCCGCTACCTCGGGGTGCCTCCCCCACAGCGGCGAAGCGTCGCCCCAATCGCCCCTCCACTCCACCTCATTGCCCCACGGATTGCGGAGCTGCAGCAGTCGGAAGCCGCCCGCCTCGACCGCCCGCAGCACCGAGTAGGCGTGGTCAGTGACGAGCTCGTCGCGCCGCCGCACCTCGAGCGTCCGCTGCCCGGCCACCTGGTGGACAGCGGTCGGGGCTGGGGGTGGGCTTGGGGCCAGCGGCGGTGAGGGGTTGCGTCAGGTTTGGGGTTGGGTGTCGGGAGAGGGGGGGGGAGATCGCCTTCTCCACTCCTCCGGTCGTGACGACGTGCCGGCTTGCGAGCGCGTCCAGCACCCCGCGCCAGATATCGTCGGCGCCACGCTCGTCGCCTGGCGTGCCGATCAGGAAGACCTTTCCCGGGCTGCGCGCCGCGCCGCTCGCAGCGAGCCGCTCGCGCTCGAGCCGAAAGGCGCCCCACCGCAAGCCGCGCGAGTCGACCCGCTGGAAGACCTGCACCGGCTGGCTCGGCCCGAGGAGCAGCTGCAGCGCCCACGCGGAGGAGCCGCCGACCAGGGCGCCGTACGAGCCGCAGTACTTCGCGACCGCCTTTTCGAGCAGCATCGCCCACTCCTCGCCGCTCGCGCCCGGCGACGTCGCGTTGCTGCCCGCGAAAAGGGTCTCGGGGTGTCCCCAGTTCCAGCTGGAGGGGATCGTGTCGTCGATCGTGGTGCTCACCCACTCGCCGGCCTCCGCCGAGAACAGGCGGAGGGTGTAGGCGCCGGTGTCGCTCGCCTGCTCCTCGAGGAAAAGCGACTCGATCAGCTCGGGATGCTCCGCAACGCACGCCAGCGACGCAAGCAGGAAGCAGTCGCCAATAGAGCCCTGCAGCAGGTCGCCCGGGCCGATGCCGTCGAAAAGGTCTGAGTCGGTGCCGGCGAGGGCACCCGCGCGGAGCCAGCAGTCGACCTTGGTCGGCGCATCCCACCCCGCCGCGGACCCCAGCGAGCTCTGCTCTGGCGGAAAGCTGGCGTCAATGTACTTGCCGTCGCTCCTCGGGTCGGGCGGTGCCGGCGCGCTCGTCACGCAGCGGATGTCAGGAGCAGCGAGCCAGCCGCTCTGACTGCTCGCGACAAGCCAGCCGTGCGCAGGCGCTAGCTCGGGAAGCCAAGCGTCGGTCTCCACGCGGACGTAACCCCCGGCCGACGAGCCTCGCGGGAGGGAGTCGCCAACCCACCAGCTGCCGATGGCGTAGAAGAGGTAGCTGACGTTGCCGCCCGTGACCTTGCGGTACACATAGCGCGAGTTGAGCAGGTCTGCGCCACGCACGAACTTTCCAAGCGACCCGGAGTTGACGCCGCCGGGCGTCTTGCCCACGATGAAGACTTCGGCGGCGGCGGAGGCGAGCGGGCTGGTCGCCACACAGCGAAGATTAGGAGCATCGAGCCACTCGCCGTCGTAGACCTTCCACGTCGCCGTGATCTTGTCGGGCGTAGCCGCGTCGTCCTCAACGTAGAGGTAGCCCGACCATTCGCCGGGCGTCGCCCCGACCCACCAGCGGCCCCGCGAGTAATGCAGGAAGCGGGACGGGTCGCTCGTGAAGGTGTAGACCTTCGCTCGCCGAGTCCGCTTGTACTCGCCCAGCAGACTCGCGTTGGCGCCCTTGGGGGTCGATCCAACGAGGTACATGGACATTGTGCGTGCTCAGCGCGCAGCAGAGTCCGAATCTAGCTGCGTGCAGCTGTGGCTTTGTACAGCAAGGCGGGGCTACGAGGACGTGAAATGCGGCGTTGCGTTCTCACATAAAAACGCAGACACGGCCCGGCTGAGGCTTGGAACCACCCACCCACCCGACCTCACGGCCCGGCTGAGGCTTGGAACCACCCACCCACCCCCACCCACCTCACCTTTTTCAAAGAAAGAAAGAAAACGGACAACCCAAGGGAGAGATGGGAGGACGGCACGCCGCCACCACGCAGGGATTTTAATCACCTTTTTCTCGGTAGTGCCAGTGCGCGCGCCGGCCAATTCTGGCTCGCAGATTCTTTTCTCTCGGCCCGGATGTACATACACATTGGGATCTAGCGTGACGCCGGCGTGACGCGGGTGTGTCCTCGAACACCATCAGGATTCCTCCCTAGTCAGGATCCTGCGACTGGCGGTTGATACCACATGTGCCCGCTGCTACCCGTGCTCGCGACGCTCGCCAGCGTGGACCCGACTGACCACACATCGTGGCCGCAGCTCGACGTGTGCTCTGACCAATCGCAGGGCAGCCTGTTCTATGCGCTGCGGCACATCGGCCTGCAGGGTCGCGCGCAGGCCGTGGTTGGGCCGATGCAGGACGACGAGGCTCTGCTGCTGTTTGCGCTCACCCGTGCCGCCGGGGTCAATCGCGCGCTCGAGCTGGGAGGGCTCGGAGGCTTCTCCGCGAGGACACTGCTCGAGGCGGTGCAGTGCACGCGACAGCCGGCCGTCTACACGGTGGACCTGGCGCCGGTGCCGGTGCTCGGCCGCCACCACAGGGTGCTGCAGAAGGGAGCCGAGCAGGTTAGAGTTTGCATGGTCCTGCTCCCTGCTGCGCGCCGGCTGCTCGAGCCGCGCGCCTCTCCCACGCCCAACAGGTGACGGCGGCAGACTTGGGCGGCGAGCCGTTTGGCCTGTTGGTGCTCGACTGCCACCACTACCCGGCGACAAAGCAGCTTCTCAAGAATGTGCTCCGCTGGCGGCTGCTCCGCCGCGACGGCGCGCTCTCTCGACGACACCGGCCGTGTCCACGGACACGTCGACTGCACGTCCATGACCCGTCCATGACACATGCCGCAGGCATGCTCTTCCTGCACGACACGGGCCGGCACTCCAGACTAGATGCACGACACAGGCTCCCGCCACCGTCTCTGGACTCTACTTGGCGGCCGCCACGCCGACCATGCGCGACATTACAACGCCGTGTGTGGCCCGATGTGGCCACCGGAGGTCAGTGCCGTCTACCGCGGCCCCTGCGTGCCGGCCCTTGCATGTCCCCCTCCCTCCGCGCCACCGCGCAGGCACCCCGCGGGCGGCGCAAACTCGAGCGGGGTGATCCACCAGCCGGTGGAGAGGCTGATCGCCATGTGGCTCGAGCGGTACGACTGCGCCGCCTCGTGGCAGAGGCTGGTCGTGCACGACGACGACGGCCACGGCGCCACCCCAACCAGGCACGGCGTGACCGTGCTGCAGCGCAAGGTCTCCCTGGCGGTGCCGCAGCGCGTGTGCCAGCAGGGCGCGCACGGCTTCGGGGGCACGGGGCCCGAGTCGGTGCGCGAGTGCCTGCGGGTGCAGACTCGGCACCAGTGCTCACGGCAGGCAGCCAGAGGCTACGACGCCGACGACATAGCGGATGACTTTGAGTAGGGGGAGGATGTCCGGAAAAGGTCCTGCCCGGAATGCGGAAACGGATGTCTCAGTGTACACGTAACACAACCACCATGCCCATGGGACTTGACTGTCGACACGCTCCTAGACACCACCGCTTTTGTCGGGGTACGTGAGCATCATGTGAACTATATCGTCCATCGAACAAAAGACATTCCGAGAAGCGAGATTGGAGAAAAGGTGAAAAAGCAGAAAAGGCGATACTCCCATCCTTCTCCGAGGAGCGAGGTGGACGATAGAGAGGAATCCTATTGCAATCAATAATGATAAGACCAAGTACTTGGAGCACTTGGAGTGCAGTCGGTAACCTCACATCCAGGGCCGGGGAGCTCAGAAGCGCACCCAGCGGGCCGGATGATCGGCATCGGGTTACGGGCTAGAGAGCCCTGACCCCTAGGGGGGTGCGCGTTCGCAGGGAAAGGGCCATAAAGTAAAGCGCGCGCATTCTTTTCCTTGTTTGGATTTTGGCGGCGCTCAGAGCTTGAGTGTGCTGTCTCGGAGATACATGGGCGTGACAGCCACCGCCCTCCTCGTCCTCGCGGCGGGGATTCGCGACGAGGAAAGCCATCACCGCCCTCGCGGCCCTCCGCGACACAGGCGACCGGTTTCGTGTCGACGCTACTGAAGCTCTGCCTCTAAATCAAGCCCGCTTTGCTCTAGGCACTCCATGCTCCGAGTCGGCGACCCGGCGCCCGATTTCTCCGCCACCTCGCACACGGGTGCCACGGTCTCGCTCAGCGACTACAGAGGTAAAAAGTTGATGCTGTGGTTCTACCCGCGCGCCGGCACTGGCGGGTGAACCGCAGAGGGGCGGGCGTTCGAGAGCCTGCGCTCCGAGTTTGCGACGCACAACATTGCCATCGCGGGCTGCTCGAACGACCCGGTCGACGCAAACCTGAAGTTTGCAAGCGGCAACCACTTTGATTTTCCGCTGTTGAGCGACACAAAGATGGCGGTCGCGGTCGCCTACGGAGCGGCCGACTCTCGCACCGCGAAAAAGGCGCGACGCATCGCCGTCCTCATAAACGAGGATGGGCGAGTGGCGAGGATCTACGACCCCGCCGGCACGGCAGACTTCCCGGCTAAAGTCCTCGCTGACGTCAAGAAGGACGAGCTGTAGCTGCGTGCCCGCGCGAGGCATTGACCCGTGCCGTCCAGCGCCGGTGTGCGCGCTTGCAAATGATGGCTGCCGCCTGCAAACTTGAGGTTTCCTCCTCGTCGCGAGAGAGGGGCCGCAGGCGTGACGCCGGACGGCACAGCAAGCGCACACCCGACGCACGGACCACGGGCACTTCACCCCATGGCGCATCTGGGGGCACACGGTGTGTAATTCATAGTTAGTCGTCTGAAGAGTGAAGTGGGGGGAGGGGATGTGATTCAATATATGTGTGTGCGTCATGGGTGTAAAGGCCCTGGAGTCGCCAATCAACCAGTGCACGTAAAACACTACTGACGAAGTCTGCGAGTCTCTCCGAAGTCAGCGCGCGTACTTTCTGTGGTGATAGTACTTTGGCCTGCTGTCCAGCCTCACATGCAGCCACGGCACTCCGCTTCCCTCCGTGCTCAGCCACACGGGCGGGGCAGACGCGGCCGCGCCGCCGAGCATCCCGTGTAGCGCCTCGCCAACCGCCTGCCAGACCGCCACGCGCTGGCTCTCGGGCGCGGCGCGGCAAAAGGCGGCGAGGTGACCGTACGCCGCGCGCGCCGCTCCCGGCGCTAGCTTCGGGTCGCCTATAAGAGCCGCAGCAAAATGTGAGCTGTGCGTTGAGGTCCCGCTATGAGTGAAGCGTGCCTGTCGGCGCCACGAGCGTCGCGTCACCGCCTAGGTTTGCAAATGTGACCGCGCCCACACCGCTGCGACCGATGTGCTCTGCAAAATCGGAAGGGTCGGCGCGTGCAAAGCCGTGCGCTTGCACCAGCACAAATTCAAAGGGATCGGCCGCCGAGGCCGCGGCGAGGGGCGGACACTCAAAGTAGAAGGAGTCGAAGGGGCAAGCCGCCAGGACGGCCGTGAAAAAGAGAGTGAATGCGGCATCCGTGCGCCAGAGAGCGATCACTTCCTCCCACCGCAGGGCAGCGCCGCCCCGGTGCGAGATGACTTGGCGTTGCGTGCGACTGCCGAGCTGCTCGGCGACGGCGACAAAGCGCTCGTCCTCCATATGTGTATGTGTGTGTGTGTGTCGATTCGCACGAAAAAGAGCGCCAAAAAGAATTTCCCGCCCCGTCCCTCCCTTGGGTTGTTCGTTTCTTTATTTCTTTTTATGATTTTGCGAGTAAATCACAACCGGACCCCCGACGCAGGAGAGAGAACGACGAGAGTGGGAAGAACGCGAGGTGGCATGAAGGTCGCTGCGAGAATTGGTGAGAAACTGTGAAGAATCTCTTCTTGTTGAGATAGGTCATAGGAAGAGGTAGACGCCCGAGGGTTGGCGACGGCTAGCACCACACCTCTCTCCTCAAAATCCCTGTGTGGTGGCGGCGAGACGGCGTGCCGTCCTCCCATCCGTCCCTTGGTTTCTTGAGCACTTGTGACTTGAGCACTGGATAGGGTCGATTCCGCGTGGTACGGGACCCCTCGATCGTCTCGCCCTCCCTCACTGGAGTGTTCATGGTTTCTTGTTTTCTTTCTTTCTTTTCCCCCGACGCAAGCACAGACAGTCGAGAAACAGCAACGACAGGCAGAAGACAGAAGTCAGCACTGGGTCCCAGGAAGGACTTTTCTAGGCACGGGACTGGCGCGCACTGGCACTAACATACACCACGGGGAGCCACCTCGAGCACTTGAGCACTGGATAGGGTCGATTCCGCATGGTACGGGACCCCAAGTATGCGTCTCCTGAGGACGGCGAGCCAGTCCCGTGCCTATATAGTGTCGTGAGAAAAAGAATTACAAGAATTATAAACCCCTCTCAGTTCGTTGGCAGCCTCACTTCCAGGGCCGGGGAGCTAAGTCCAAGAAGCGCACCCAAGCGGGCCAGATGCTCGGGATCGGGTTACGGGCTAGAGAGCCCTAGCCCTGTGGGGGGACGGGTGCGCGTTCCCTCGGCGTTCGCAGGGAAAGGGCCATAAAGTAAACACGGGTCTCCGAGGGTTGGCTCCTTGGGGCACTTGGGGCACTTGGAGTGCAGTCATCAACCGCACGCCCAGGACCGGGGAGCTTAAGAAGCGCACCCAGTTGGCCAGACGATTGGTATCGGGTTACGGGCTAGAGAGCCCTAGCCCTGGGGGGTGCGCGGTCTTGGGTTGTCTGTTTTCTTTCTTTCTTTCTGTCTTTTCTTCCAGCTTTTCCTCTTACACGACACTGGGGGCATGGGACTGGCGCGCACTGGCACTAACACTTGACAAAAAGAATTTCGAATTCTCTGTCAGCAGTCCACCTCCGGGTATTCGTAAGGACGCGGAAAAGCGGAGGGACGCATGCGTCCCCGTCTAAGTCGCAAGGGACGAACCCATGTCTAAGTCGCAAGGGACAGAACCCAGCCACACAGCCTCGAGCCCACAGCCTCAGGGATGCCACCGAAGTCTGGCACCGTGGTGTGCGACGGCGAGAAGTGTGTGATCGGCAACTACAAGCCGACTAAAGATGGCACAGCCCATGAGCGTCTTGCAAAGGCTGCAGGCATGGATAAGCCGAAAGTGGCGGGTTCCATCAAACCCGACGGCCGCGTTGCGTTGAGGTCGGAGTCGATCAACCGTACCAACGGACTGGGCTGTGATGCTGCTGGAACGAAGCTTGGCCAATGGGCAGAAATGAAAATGGCCCTTGGCGATGTCGAGGGCGTCAAAGAGTACAAGAGGAAGAGCCGGCGCTCCCGCACCTGATGCATCACACACGCCGAGCGAGCGTGGTGTGGGCGCGAGAAAGCTCCCCGCCGTTCATAGATAGGAGAGCGCCGTTCATAGACACTGTGTCGAGAGCCGATGCGTGAGGTGTTTTCATACACGCTAGTCCGCTAGCCGGCGGCGGTCGGGTTCCTGGTTTCATGCATGATTTGGAGGGCGGCCCGCGGGCGCCGACGGAGACGTCGAGGAAGAATCAATGTCCAAAAGCTCACCGATGTTTTCGCCCACTTTGTCGTTTTGCAGACTTTCTAACAAGCACCTCACTCAGCCGGCAGCGCGCGCAGAACCCGGAATGGCGCCGCCGCATTGCCGGGATTGTACTCGAGGAGAGGCAGGGGGAGCCCGTTGGCGACGCTAGCGGCGTCCTGCACGGCGCGAGCCAGCGCAAAAGTGACACGGCTTGCCCGCGAATCAATCGCGACCGCCTGGACAAAGTGCGCAAGCGCCGCTCTTGCTCCCCACCCTCCGTCTCGCCACACACGTCGAGAACGAGCTCGTTGTAACCCCAAAAGCCATCCGAGTGATCCAAGCAGGTCTCGAGCGGGACGTCCCGCAGAGCATTGGGCCTGCACCCAGGAGTGCAGTGCACGTCAACTAGTTGCTCCCGCCGTCGTGCGGGTAGCAACAGTTCTTCCGCTCCAGCGCAGCGGCCCGGCGGAGGACGACTCGAGCATCGGCATGTATGTGTACTCGATCATCTGCTCACCGATCCGGCGCAAGGCTGGACCCATGATCCCGCTTCTGAAGATCACACCGGGTCTGTACGTCCCTTGATGCAGGTAGTTATTATGCTCACGATGGTCCTCCCATTTGGCTGGGTTCGGGCTGTCTGTTTTCTTTCTTTCTTTCTGCAGGGGATGGTTGTCGTTTGTGAGTTTGTGTGATTATGTCAAAAGGTAAAAGCCACACCAACGAATATCAAAGCCCTCGGCTGAAGAAAAGGAGACGCGGCACTCGAACGCGGCACCGGCACGAACGAGGGCCACCACCAGTGCGCAGTGGCAGAGAGAGCAATATTAAAAGGCTGCTCCGCCCGCCGCACCGACCTCAAGCGGCTAGCGGTAAGCGACCTTTCGAAAACAAGCACCTCAAGCCAACGCAAGCTGCTCCGCCCGCCGCACCGCCCGCGAGCCCGCGACCCAGGCAGGCCACTTTGTCTGAGCCCTGGCTGTCAGGCTGTCAGGTGCTGTCAGGTGATCTGTCGGGCTGTCGGGCGCAGCTGTCAGGCATTGTCAGGTGCCTCTGTCAGACCAGCTGTCAGGTGCTGTCAGTGCTGTCAGGTGCTGTCGGGTGCGTGTCTGACAGTCGAGGTGCTCTGTAGCTGTCGGGTGCTGTCGGAGCTGTCGGGTGTTGCTGTCAGACGCTGTCGGAGCTGTCAGAGCTGTCAGGCTGCTGCTGCTGTCAGACGTTGGGCTGTTGCTGTCAGGTGCTGTCAGGTGGTGCTGTCGGGGTGCTGTCAGGCTCTGACACACACCAGCCACACTTATGGCGCTATCAAGAGGAGACCAGCAGGACTCTACTACACATACTCTCAGCCTCTCCTCCTACACGGCGTGATCACGCCGGCGGCGGCGGCCGCCTGGGGAGCGCGCATATGGCGGCGCAGGCGCAGGCGGCGGCGGCGGCAAAGACGGCGGCGGCCACCCCCACCCAGACGCCGTAGGCATATGACTGTAGGGCCCCAGAAGGCTAGCTGGTAGCTCCATTTGTAGTAGCACAGCCGCCGGTGCTAGAGAGGGGTCCCCGCAGACGCGCAGAGGTGTGGGACGCGGACGGGAGGGTTGAGAGAGAGACCCATGACCATCCCATGACTACGTCTTTGCATGTAATAGTTTTGTTATACCCTCATGGGGCACAAGAAAGAGGCTCTACGGGGTCTGACTGTGTACGGTCTGTGCTGCTGTCGGGCTGTCAGCGCTGCTGTCAGGCCACTGTGTGCTGTCGGGCTGCGGCTGGTCGGGCAGCTGTCAGGCTGTCACGTTAGGGCCTGACAGCGACGGAGCACCTCGACCGTCAGACTCTGCTGTCAGGCTGTCAGATACGTGCTGTCAGACTGTCGGAGAAAGTGCTGTCAGCGCTGTCAGGCTGTCGGGCACTGTCAGGCGCTGTCCGGGGTTTGCTGTCAGGCTGTCAGACCAGCCAGGGCTCAGCACTTTGTCAGCCTCCCACTTTTCGCTTGCTTGACTGAGATCGATCGCAAAGGAGCGAAGCTAAACCTGGCACAAATCAGGAACAAGATTGCGCACGACGCGCCTTTTGTGCAAGACTCGATGGCTCAAGGGAGAGACCACCTGAACAAACCCAAGTAGACGGGTGACACTGACCGGTCCGACCCGGTGAGAGCTCAGACACACGAGCAAGGGGGGGGACAAGCGTAAAAAGGGACGGAAGCCGAGAGCGCTCGCAAAGAGGACGCGGCGGCGGCCGGCCAATGGCCACATCATCAGCATCACCGCTCGCGCCACCGCCCTCTCCCGCCGGCCCGCCGCCTCTGGCGATCCGCGACGGCGCCGCCCGCGACCGCGACCTCGGCGGCGATCGACTGCAGAATGACACGCCGCCCATGCTGCTCGGTTCGCCGCCGCTGGCTACCCGCGATGGCTCCGCGATGCAGCTCGGCGGAGGACAACTGGAGATGGACGAGATGGATGAGGAGGGAAGAACCCGCCACCACGCGCGGATGTGCGCCGCCCCCCTCCCTCTCCCACCCCAGCCCACCGCTGCCGTGTCTCGGAATGAGGAAGCCGGTCTGAACCGACAGCCAGCGCCACTACGCGTGGGCCCGAGCGTACGAGTTCTCAGTACAAAAGACCGGGTTTATCTCTCAAAACGTCCTCCCCAACCGTCACCCGGCCCTTCTCTCCGCCCGCGTGTTTTTATGTTGACATGCGCGGGGCCCATCGGGGTGCACGCGTGCAGGCTGAACAACGGGCTCGCGCTCGCCTCTCAGAAGGTTCAGACGCCAGACAATCTGGAGATGGACGAGATGGATGAGGAGGAAAGAACCCGCCACCTCCGCAGGCTCCGCAAGCGGGGAGTGGACTCCAATTTTCCGGCCCCACCGCCTCTGGAGTTTTCCCGGCGTTGCAACGGCACGTGCCGAAAGGACCGGACCGTCCCCATCATGCCTGGGGAACCAGGCCGCGGCCGAATGCACGTCTTCCCCAGTCTGCCGCCACGGCGCATTGCTGGCTGCCTCGAGGGCCCGGAGCTCGAGGCCGCACGGGCGGAAAATGGCATGCTCTGGACAAGACCGACGAGCGGGAGGCGATGCGCCGCGCCCGCAACCTTGCAATGAGTCGCTCAGCGCCGCGTCGCGAGGGTGACTCCGCACGCCGAGCCAAGGCGCGGCGCGAGAAGAGAGACAGAGAGAGAGCTTTTAGCAATAACATTTAAAATCTTGCCGCACACGCCTCCTGCGTCTACTTGGGTTTGTCCGCGACACATCGCGGGAGATACACGCCCCCTCTGCGCGGCACGGGGTGCCCATCGAATATCACCCCCGCCGGGGCGTGAAATTATCCAAATACTTTACTCGTCACGACGACGTGGCAAGTCTGAAGAGCCCGAAAGGACGCACGACGCGGCGAACGAACACTCAGCTCTCAGCACATGCCCAGCGAGATGGTTGCCGCCAAGATGGAGCTGGCCGACCCCTTGTTGCCGACGATCAACGTCGATGCCGCACCGCCGCTGGCCGACCCCCTGTTGGCAACGCTCGAGATTGACGTCGACAAGGTCCACTCGGTCGCCAAGACGAAGAAGGCAAAGGCCGGGGCGGGAAGCAAGGCGGGGGACAAGGCGAAGGCCGCGGCGACAAAGGTTCAGCGTCATGGCGGCGAACATCTCTCGCCGTCTGGCTCAGCATTCTCGACAAGGCGGCGGGCTCTGAAAAGGCCCTGAAGAGGGTGGCCGCGATGCTGCAGAACATGGGGCCGGCAGGGGGGCAGGCGCTGGGCAAGCTCATCCTCTACCTCTCCGGGCCCGGCACCTCGGTGGTAGCGCGGGCTCGGAAGCGGGCGCTGATTGGGCTGCTGCGCTCTGGCGCCAAGCTCGTGAACTTTGCTCTCAAGACGGTGCTGCCACGATTCATGACGCCGACGCGGAGGCAAGTGCAGAACCAGCTGGCCGCGCTCCACAATGCCGGGACTGGCCTCCCGCTGGGGGAAGAGGGGCCCGCGCAGAACTACACGCTCGAGATTCTCCGCGCTGATGACGCCGATCGCCTGTGGCGCCGCGTCGAGGGCCCAGCGGGTGGCGAGGCACGGTACGAGCGGGTCTTCCTTGGCTTGGACGCGCTCACGTCGGGGGTTGCGAGATGCTTGGGCTCGCCGCAGGTATGCCCCTTTGACTCGACGCCGGTGCAGCCGCGCGGCTTGATCAAGCGCACGACGTGCCGCGTCGACACGAGGCTCGTCAAGCGCGAGAAGGGCGTCTCGAAGAAGGCGTACCGGGAGCAGCAGGTGGCGAACGCCGACGTGGATCTCGTCACGGACTGCGCAGACCGCTACCTCGCTCAGACGTACTGGCCCCCGTTGGCGCACGCGCTTCAAAAGGCCATCCCGCGCCGCGCCAAGTCGATGCTCGACTTTAAGTACCCGGCCGACTTCATGCCCCGCGCGATGCGCGACGATCCGGAGAATGTGATCTCGCTCGACGTCGACATCGACATCGCGCTTCGCTTCGACTCGCCGGAGCCGCTCTTCAACCTCGACTCGGGCCTCGGCGACTTCACCAGCGTTGCAAAGGTGCAGAACGACTCGCGCTTCGTCTTCTTCGTCCGCGGACACAACGGCTATCCCTCCCTCGGCACCTTTGAGCTGAAGAACTTCAAGCTGGAGGCGCGCGCGCTTGCCTGGTGGGATGTCTTCGACTCGAAGTTCGACCTCGCCTTCACCAAGGAGGATCCGCCAAAGGTCTCTTGGGACATTGAGGTGGCGCTGGGCGGCGCGGCGCTGCCGCTCCCGGACTGCATCGAGGACCACTTCCTCGGCGGCCTCACTTCCTTGGTGATGCGCACCTTCAACCGCGCGTACCCTCTCCACCTCGACATTGCCGCAATGAACGAGGAGGAGGCGGAGCTGCAGGAGCGATGGGGGTGCGAAGCGGTGGATGAGGACGATAACGTCTGCTGACGAGGCGCCTGGCTGTTTGTCTGTTTGTTCATATTGCAGCTGCAGGATACACACAATGTCGCACGTTACGGAGAGCCCGCGCCCAGCAGTGTGTACTTTGTTTGTACTATCGCGATTCATTACTGATTCGCCACCGACCGCGATATGGTTACACAGACCCCGCACCGCCTCGGTACACGAAATCTGCCTGCGGGCCGAACCCTCACAGGCTGAACACAGGACAAGCTCACAGGATGATCATCATCATCATCATGTACATTAGTAGGTCAATAGGCTCATAGCTCAGACCTGCAAGTCCAAGACTCGTCGAGGACTTTGGTAAAGCGATGTGCCGCGCGCTCTCTGCTGAGGGCCGGACGAGCATTCACAGATCGCATTCACAGCGAACAATTCATCGGAGCTTGAGCTGGGCCACTTGAGTGCTCTCTGCACCATGCAAGCCAAGTATGGGTCCATCCTTTACAACACTGTCGGCGTACTACCCTTCGGGCTCATGTCAGCTGAGATGCTGCCCGAGGTCTGGAAAGGCATCGCGACGGAGACATGCAAAACGGGCTTCGGCGGCGGCAAGACGTGCACCGAGGCGCTCGAGTTTACGGTGGGCAAGGTCTATCTGCAGGTGATCTGCGGTTCGGCGCTATTCTACGCGATGCACCTACTGCTCGAGGGCAAGAGCGCTCTGCTGGCGAGCATGGCGATGCTCATCGGGACGATGGGAAAGCACATCCTCGTCGATGACCTCATGCCGCCGCCGCCGGTGATGGCGATGGTCGCGCTGACCGTCGCCCTGATCCTCCTCGCGCCGGCCGCGTGGGGCAGGCGCGCGTACATCGGCTTCTGCGTCGTGAACGCCGCGACCTTCCTCCTCGACCCACTCACGGTGATCACAGACAGCTTCCCGGCGGGTGAGCCTCTCCTCGCGCCGCCGCCTCCCTCACGCGCCTGCCTCGCGTGCGCCTCGCTCGGCTCGGCCCACTCCGCCTCCCCCTCCGCGCAGTCGAGGCAGGCTCGCCCGCGGCGGAGATCGGCACGTTCGAGTTTGAGGCGCTGCCCTCCCCCATCCCGCCAGCCCTATGGACCCGCCGCTCACGCGTGCATGCCGTGCGCAGGTGGTTGCGCTCTACTTCCTGTGTGCGGCCGTCACCGTCGCCTCTCCGTCGAAGGCGTACGGCCTCGCGTACTCTTGCCAGGTGACCTCCCCACCTCCCCTCCCCTCCCCTCCGGAGCTCGCCTGCAGGCCCCAGTACTTAACGCGCGGCTCCGGCCCGCCTCCCTCCTCCCAGATGGGCTGCGCCCTGCTCCTCAAGCACATCCTCGTCAACAAGTCGGGCCCGCCGGCGCCGATGGTCGCGCTGTACGCCGTCACGTCGATGGGCGCGTGGTACGAGGTCGGCTGGGCGGACTTCCCGAAGCCGCTCGAGGAGGCGATGCAGGCGGGGCCGATCGTGCTCCACGGCCTCATCGTCTTCTTCTTCTTCGTGCCCTACTTCGCCCTCGAGACCGTCGGCATCTCGCTCCCGTACGTCGGCCTCGCACACGTCGACGAGTCGTACACGCACGGCGGCTCGACCCTGCTCATGACCGGCATGCTCGCAATCTTCTCCGCGATGACCTCGTACGACGAGATGGCCGGCTGCACGAGCGCAAAGATGTTCGCCGCCCACCACTACTTCCTCTCGCTCGTCGTCTTCTTCTGGCAGGTGCAGCCTACCACCACCGCCTTCGGCGCCGCCTTCGGCTCCGTGCCCCACCTCTTCACGGCGTGGACCTGCTACCTCGTCCTCTCCAAGACCAAGCAGGACTGAGGATCCGCGCGGCGACCAGTCGCACCCCATGCCGGTGTCAGGCGAGTTCGGTAAGACTCTGGGCGAGCCTGCTGCCCGCGCGGGGTCTCCTATACTCCCGTACAAGTGCGGATGTACCAGTAGTCTCGCATGTCCATGTGTCGCAGGGGGGGAGCAGGGGGGGGGGAGGAGGCGGGAGAGGTGGTGGTGCGCGCTACACTGCACACAGTGACTGCGAAGGGCCATGAGCATGACTCAGCATGTGCGACTCGCAGCGAGGCGGCACAGCCGAGCCTCGCCCGAGCGAGAGAAGAAAAAAGAAAACGTGCACGCAAAAGAGGGATGGGAGGACGGGAGGCCGCCACCACACACGATGAGGCGGGAGGTTTTTGTTTTCTTCTTTTCTCGCACCTCTTGTGGGCCGCCCAGAACGGAGGACCACCATCTCGACGGCGATGCTGCCCATCACGGAGGAGCCGTCCTTCTGTGTCCCCACCGCCGCGCTCATCGAGACGGCGCGGCGCAGCTGGGACGCGCTCTTCCCTGGCGAGGAGGTGCCGCAGTTTGACACAGAGGAGGCGTTCCTCGCTTGGGCCAACTCGGCGCAACTTGGGTCGGGCCACTCTCCGCCGCCGCCTGTCTTCCTGGCTGAGGCCGCACCGCAGCCTGCGCCGCGCGTCGGGAGCGGACGGGGCGCCCGCTCACCGAACGGCGCGAGACGACAACAGAGTCCGGCTTCGCTTCCGCAGCCTCGGGGCAGTGCGGCGGCGCAGCCGCCCGACGCGCGCGCCACCGTGCGGGTGGAAGACGCTAGCGGCATGTCGTGGGAGCACGGGAGCGTCGCACGCGCGGTGCCGCGCTCCGCCGCACACCGATTGAGCGCCCCACCGCCCTGAGCGCCGTTTGTTTCCCACCACCAGGCGGGCAGCTCATGCCAGTCGTGCGCCATCGACCTCTCAGCGGCCTCGCCGATCGACTGGGACACGAGGCGCACAGCCTCTCTGACCCCCCACACACACACCCGCTCTGACCCACCCCCACTTTCTCCCCGCGCAGGTTGCGGCTGCACGAGGCCGCCTCCCTCACCTCCTCGACCTCTGCCGACACCTCAGCACGGACGACGCCCGCGGGCATGCCCACGGGCACGCCGCTGGAGCAGCAGCAGCAGCGGCAGCAGCACCAGCTCGCGAGCGCATATGGGTGGGCGCGGCGTGACCGCGCGGCGGTGGAGGGGAACACTGACTCGCCCGCACGTACGTGGGACCGCTGTTGAGCGGGAAATAAGAAGAAAATGGGCAACGCTCAAACCACCTCCTTTGGCCGCAAGGATTTTTTTCTTCCTTTTGACGGAAATGAAGGCCCAGCCCTGGAGGTCTGCATGGCCCTGGAGTTCGTCCCGGCCCTGGAGGTTGGCTCACGTCGCCTCACAACGCCGCCTCAGTACGAACCTCAGCACCAGCCAGAAGACCATCGGTGACCTGGCGCCAACATTGCACCGCTTGAAGAGCGTCGGCGGGAGCAGCTCTCGTCATGTGCTGCCGGCCAGCGCCTCGGTCGGCGCGGCGGCCCATCATCTCCTCAGCGAGCGGCTGTCCTTCTCTCTCATTCTGCGCTCGGATGAGTCGCTCCTCGGCATGGTGACGGAGCGCGACTTGCTGCGGTACGCCACGCAGGCGGGCGACCTGTCTGGCCGCACCTCGTCCCCGCGTGCGTACCGCGTCTCGAAGCCGCTGCCGAGCAAACCGGCGGTGGTGGAGTGGATGACGCCAGCAGATCGCGCGCTGACAGTTCGGCTCGACGACACGCTCGAGCACGCCGTCTCGCTGGTGCGGCGTGGGATCTGGAGGCACCTCCCGGTCGTCGACTACTACGGCCGGATCCACTCCATCCTGGACGTGCGAGACGCGGTCGAGGTCGTGTTCGGCGCGCGCGGGCTCGACGCGTGGCGCGGCAAGACGGCAGCCGACGTGCTCGGCCACAAGCGGAAGCGCAAGCTGGCATGGCCGCCGCCCGGGGTCCCCTTCGAGGGGTGGCAGGTGCCGCCTTGGGACTGCTAACCCTAACCCTAACCCTTAGCCCTAGCCCTAACCCGTTCGAGGGGATGGCAGGTGCCGCCTTCGGACTGGCGGCAGCAGCTCGAGGGCTACTTGCTGCACTCCGCCGCGCAGCACACGGTGTCGAGCGCGGCGAGCGTCGAGGAGGCGGCGCAGCAGATGGTGCGCCACCAGCTCACCTTCTTAGTCGCGACGGACGACGGCGGCGAGGGCGGAGGAGGAGGAGGCGGAGGAGGCGGAGGCGGCGGGGGCGGCGGCGAGGTCAGCGGCGTGCAGCGGCGTGTGGTGGGCCTCGTCAGCGAGCGCTCATTCCTGTCGTACTGCGCTGAGCCGCCGGGTGCCGTCCTCTCGCAGCGCGAGGCGAGGAGCCTCCCCGGAACCTTCTCGGCACCTTCCTGTAGGCTCTGGCCTCTCGCTGGTGGAACGGAGGGCGGCGCCAGGGTCGGGCCGCAGCGTGGCGTCCATCATGGCGCCGCTCGAGGGGGTGCTGCACGTGTCGATCAACGCCTCCGTCGGGGACATCGTCGACCTCTTTTTCGCGCACAACATGCGCCACCTTCCAGTCATCGACCGGGGGAGGCTGCTCGGGATAATCTCCGCACGCGACCTCCTCCTGCCTCTGCTGTGAGGCTGCCTCTGCGGCTGGGCGGCGCGGCGAAGGGAGGAAGCATGGCGGGGTCGGTAGCGGGCGGAGGCTTAGAGCAGGGGCGTTTGGCGCACCCTCGGCAGGTTTGCATCGGTGCACAGGAGGAGGCTACACAGAGACTGCCAGAGGAGGAACCTGCGTCCGGCGCCGCACAAACTGCGGCGACCCAGGCGGGGCGGTGCCGCCGGCGGCTGCACGCTCAGGGACTCGACTCATGGTCATGCGGGTGGGGACCCGAGTAGTGCGGATTCCGTATTGGCATGAATAAATAACTAAAAAACGGACTGTGAGATGGGTAAAAAAGAACAGGTCCCCGCCCGTGCGATCTTTGTGCAGGGTTCTTTGTGGGTGTGTGGTCGGCGACTAGCCGGGCGGGTCGGGTCCTCCCCCGACGGGGGGTGGACTAGCACTAACCGTCTTCCACACGACATGGCCCCTCTCGGGTCCCTGCTAACTCTTAATCTCTTCGTACATCCTCCTGCTGATCTCCGCAACGTCCTGCTCCCTCCCTCGTCTCGCCCTGCGCGACTGCTCCGCCTCCCCGTCGTCTGCCCTGCGTCGTCTGGCGACGGGTCCTCCATAGTCGGTTGAGGTCGCCGCCCTCCTCGTGCCTCTTCCCAACATCCCCTCGGCGGCCGATGCCGTCTGCTCCGACTCCGCCGTCCCCGGGTCTGCCCTGCTCTCGTCTGCGCTAGCTTCTGTTTCGTCATCACTGGTGTCTCTCCTCGTCATCACTGGTGTCTCTCCTCTTCTTGTATGCTCGTACATCGCGTCGATTCCTTTTCGCGTGAGCACCACCCTGAAGCCCGCCCAGCAGCTGAACCGCTCCCTAAGTCGAAGGAGCATCATCAGTCTCACCCACTTCGCTCGCTGCCCACGGTCTCCGCTCCCTCCCGCTTGAGCCGCCGTCGCGTCCCTCGTTCGTCCCACTGGCTGCTGGCCTGTCTCGCTGTCTGCACGTTACCTCCGTTATCCCTCCTCCTCCGCGACTCCCTCAAGGCCGGCCGGGCCTCCTTCCACCCAGCGAAGAGCTTCCTCAGCCACTCGATGTGTTCCTCTCTCTTCATTAGGAATCCTATGCGCGCCGTAGCCTCATCATTGAGCTGGATCCACCTCTGCACCGCTCCCGTCGCCGCCTCGGCCATGACTTGCAAGTTCCTCGTGACCCCGGCGCCAAGGTCCCTTCGGCTCTTCTTCGAGAGGTCATCTACCAGTGCTGGCAACACCCCCCCGACGGCTGGGGCTAGTGCATCATACCCGTCCTCATCCAGCACCCTATAGCGTGAGCCCTTCAGCGCAGCGATATGCGCTATTCTCAGCGTCTTCAGCGTATCCTTGGAGTTGGGTGCCGCCTGTGCTACTTTGCTGTCGAACTTTGCTGATCGCCGTCCCCGTCTGCGCTCGCGCTACCCTGAGGAACCACCTGGCCTGCTCCCTATTCCCCAGGCAGGCGCCGCTAAGCACGTGCGCCATTGTCGCTCTAGGCGGGGGTTCTCATCTTCCTCGGTCCATTGCTGCGCGGCTTTCCGCACGGTCGGACACAGCGGTCCCGCTTTAGTGCCGCCCTCCTCGCCGCGTCCCTCGCGGCCTTACATACGAGGCAGCCCCTGAGTTCGCTCCTTGTGGCAGCACCCGGAGTCTCTCTCCCCGCCTCTCCCCGCATGATCCTCTCGTGGTGCGCTCCGTGTGGCACCCCCGCCTGCTGCCGCACCCGCGCTCCCATGACGGTCTTTGTCACCACGTTGTGATCATCCACGTCGGCGAATTGGATCTCACGCTCGCCGTGCTGATCCTTGATCCGCTGACGCTTGTCCCATTTGTGTCTCGTCGTTCCCCTGACCACATCGCTCCACAGCGGCCCAGTCACCCCCGCCGTGTGCGACCCCGCCGTGAGCCCCTCGCCGAGCCGTCCTCGCACCCACTCGTTCGTGTGGCCGCGTGTGGCGTAATAGGTCCTCCGGTCCAGTACGTCTCCCCCCCACTCTCTGTCTGCTGTCCTCCGGCGGTCCGTGTATAGACACGGGCGTGTCCTCACTGCTCCTCGGATGACGGCGGTGGCATCCTCAATCTCGCTGGCCCCCATGTATGCAGTCGCCGCTGCGTCAGCGTAGGCATTGCTATAGCGCACCCCGCGTGGCTCCCTGAGCCCCTCGAGAGAGCCTTTTCGGTACGCCGCCTCGATCTGCTGTAGCGAGCGCGGGCTTGCAGTCGCTCAAGACGAGCCACAATTTTGCTCCTGTCCAAAGGGGGGGGGGGGGGGTATGGTCCTGACCGCCCAAGGCTAGCCCTACCATACCCCAAGCAGGTCTTCCAAGAGGCTGGGGGTATGGTCTCGAGGTGGGTTGGCCGAGGAACCATACCATACGCGCTGTTGCGAGTTGGAAGCTTCCCACCCTCGAATTCCCACCCTCGAACCTGGCGTCGATTCTGCCCACGAAGTCGCCACGGGAATCTAGCGGCGGCCTGGCCTCTAGCGACACCGACGAGATGAGCGACTCCTTTCTCCGCGCTGCCCAGATTCGCTCTTCCGACTCGCCGAGTCCACCCGCCGCAGCGGAGCTGATCGCCTCACTCGGCGCAGACGAGCTGCAGGTTATTGCGCTGTCGGTCGACGACCCGGCCATTGTGTGCCGCATGGCCGCAGTCTGTCGTCTGTGGCGTGCCACTGCGCACTCCGAGCCGGTGTGGGCGGCGTTGGCCGCCGCATACTGGGTTGGACCACTCGCCCGCCCACCGACTGGATCGGCGCGAGACGCCGTCGTCGGAATAGAGTCGGCGCTCCGAGATGTTGCGAGCGGACGGCGCCGGCTGGCGATCCTGTTGGAGCAGAATGGCGAGATCCACGTCCCGCTGGCGTCTTGCCGCTGGACTTGCGCGCTCGACGCCTCGCCCTTCCGCATCCTCTCCGTCTTTGGCGGGTCTCGGCCTTTCTGCTCCGTCTCGCTCCTCTCCAACGCAAGCGACGTGGGCGCCTCTGCTGTCGCCGAGGCTGCTGCTGTTCTCGAGCGGGACAAGGACGAGTTTCTCGGCTTGCTGGAGCCTGTCCCCTACTCCGAAGGCAAGTTAGGGCGACCCTTGTTGGAGCTCCACCCGGGCCGCGTGCACGAAGAGGAGGACTTTGACGAGGCGGACGCGATGATGAACTGGGAGGCGGGTGGCAGCCCGGGCCCAGGCCTCTTCCTCTCTTGCCACACCAACCACCGAGACAAGGGACGGCACCAGAGCTTGCAGTGGTTCCACCCCGACGGCGCAAAGACTGTGGGACCGCCCGGTGGTCGCCCCGTCGACGTGCTGCCCCAATTCTACGAGGTGGGCCTGCCCGTGCCCTTCGGCAGGGCCGGGCCGGGCGGGGGGCTCATCCTCTGCCCCTTCTCTGTCCGCTGCTTCAAGGACCAGGAGCGGTGGCATACGCCGACGAGCAGCGGCCACACGCCCGCGATGATCGCAGGGTGGGACAATGAGCCGCCATGGCAGGACGTCGGCGAGTGGAGGCAGGGCGGGGAGCCCGCTGGGTCCCGCTGCCGCTCCCTCTTCGTGGTGGCGGTGCAGCAGCGCGTCTCCGTCGCTAGCAGCCATTTCGTCACGCGGCAGGAGGAGCTGCACCGGGAGTGGTTCCGCGTTGACTTCAGGTGAGTGTGTGACTGTGCGCGACTCGTGAGCTGTGAGCTGTGAGGGGGAGCGATTGAAACTTGAACCAGTCTTTTGTCTCTCAAGTCTCACATGCACGCGCGTGTGGCACGTGGCCGTGGCGTTGCAGGGGGCGCTGTGTCAAGAGAGATTTTTAGCAATACCAAACAACTCTAACAGTTTGTTCTGTGTCAATGCCTCGTCCGTGCAGGGTAAATATTCAACCCCTTTATAGGTATCTTAGGTATACATTTTCTATTATTAGTTTATTACGCCGCTGTTCACATAAACGCACAACCCCGGGCCCCGAAATCGCACAGTGACAGTCAGGGGTCCCAGGGAAGCGCCGCTGTTCACATAACCCCGTCCCGAAATCGCAGAGAGACAAGGCGCTGTTCACTGTTGGGTTGACGCGAACGTCGACGACCTCCATCTGTGGCTCGACTTCCGGCACATATGCCTTCCGCTCCAGAGGTGCCAGGCAGGAAAGTGTCTGGCACATATGACGCGAAAACGTCTCCGGCGTCGCCGCCGAAGGCTCGCAACTCCCGGGCCGCACCCAGTAGTTCACAACCGAGTCCGCGCGGTCGTCACGTAGCCCGCTAATGCATCCTGTGGCCTGTTGCTCCCAGGTGAAGCGCCGGGATAGCAGCGCCAGCATGACGGACGAGCTATTTCGCATCTCGCGGCAGAACAGCATGACCAGCGTCGGCGGCGAGGATTTCGCGGACATCGAGGTGGCGCAAACGCTCGGGCCCCGTGCCTCGCCGACGCCGGCCTTTCTCCCACCCGATGGTAAAAGCTATCCTCCGCCCGCCCAGGATCCTCACTTGGAGAGAGGTCGACCTCGCTTGCGACCGCCTCCAGGCCGGCAGCTGAGTCGCTCCGTGAGCCGCGTGCAGCTCAAGCGTTGGGCGTCGGACGGCTGGAGGAAGGCGCGCAGCGCCGGCAACTACTGGCTCCTGTTCGGCATCGCGGCGGTGAGTGGAAGGAGGCGGTGCGGGCCCACGCGCCGCCGCGCCCCCAAGCCTCCCACGCACCCCGAACCCAGGCGCTGCTCTGGATTAACCTCGACCACGAGTCCTACGAGTACTTTGTCGGCACTCTCACGCCCGGCAGAGCCACGCTGCTGCCTCTGCGCCCCCAGCCGCTGAAGGCTCGGACACCGCCGTCCTCTAGGCGCCGAGCCGGCCGAGCCGCACTACGCCCCCTTCGGCAACAAAGCCGTCATCTTCGACCACCCGGTACCTCTAGACACTCCCGACACGTCAAATTCTCCGCCACACGCAACGCATTCCGCCCGCCCTCGCGTCTCCGCCCTCGCTGCCGCCGCCACCCTCGCCCCTACCCTCGCCGCCGCCCTCGCCGCCACTGCCCTCGTCTCCTCCATAGACCCCCCCCCCCCCCCCAACACACATCGTCCCCCAGCCCGCCACCGAGCTTGCTGCCTTTCTAACCTCTTTAGGCCCTCGCGCCGCTGATCGCCACCGTCGGCGGGGTGCTCGGCCCGATCGCAGTCTTCACTCTCACGCTGCAAACGCTGTACGGCGGCGGCGCCTTCCACGACTACTTCTCCTCCGCCGCCATCGACGCCCGCCACGCACTCTTGCACATCGAACGCGACGCGGCGCGCGACCGCACGCCCTGCTCCGCCCTGCTCCTTCGCACCTGCACTTGGTCTCTCCCCCCCTCTCCCTCCCCGCCCTCGCCGCCGCCCTCGCCTCCTCCTCCACCGCAGCCTCCCGTCCCCTCCGCCGCCCTCCCGCCGCCCTCCCGCCCCCACCTCCCGCCCCGTGCACACACAGCTGCGCGGCAACGCGACGCTGCCCGAGCCCGCCGTCTGCTCCCTCCACGAGAACGCACTCGGGCAGTGCGCGCTGGAAGACGAGCGCGACTTCTCGTGGGAGCAGACGTGGCGCGAGATGTAGCCGAGATGCAGCCGAGGCGTAGCCGAGATGTAGCCGAGATGCAGCCGAGGCGTAGCCGAGATGTAGCCGAGACACATCCCAGACGTAGCCGAGGCGTAGGAGCAAGACGGGCCGCGGCCACCACCGAGCGTCCAGGAGCCCTGTCGCTGCCCGCCTCTTCCGCAGGTTCCACCACGCGGGGTACGGCGCGGTCCACACCGAAGGCATGGACCACGGCCGCCGCTTGCATGGAGGCGGCGGCTGGTTGCTCCGAGGCGAGGGCGGGCAGGGCGGCGAGGCGGGCGGCGGAGCCAGCGTGGCGGAGAGCGTGGCGGAGGGGGCGGCGAGAGGGGGCGGGGCGGAGGCGGGGGCGACCCATCGCCAGCTCGGTGCGATCGGCCGCCGCAAGTCGACCAAGCCGAAGCCAAAGCCCCTCGTTGACGCCGTCGCGGCGAGATGCAGCCGAGATGTAGCCGAGATGTAGCTGAGGCATGGCCGAGGCATGGCATGGCCCGTCGGTGCTGCCGTTTCGGCGAAGCGAGGCAGACTTTTCTCTCGGCGACATCTCTGCGACATCTCTGCGACATCTCTGCGACATCTCTGGACTGCGCTCTCCCCTCGCTGTCGTTAGGCGAAGCGAGACGAGAAGCTCGGCTGGCCCGAGGTGAAGAATGGGTGGGGCGTCCCAACCGCGACGGTGAGCCACCCCTCCCCTCCCGCGTGGTGCCATCTGCCACTCTGGGAGCCGTCTCGGACCCTGCTCGGACCTTGGCACCCCTGCAGGACATCTCCCTCGCCTGGGTCATCGCGCTGGCCGTCTTCCCCAAGGTCCTGCGCCCCCCCCCTCCCCCCCCGCCCCGCGCGCACCGGGCCTCGCCCTGCACTCTGCACATCGTGGCGCTCTCCCCCCGTGGCTCTCCTGCCAGAGTGCCTCGCAGTCTCGCAGGACGTGTGGAGATGGGGCGGATCGCCCGCGTGCGCGAGAGGGCGGGTTCCCCCTCCCCCCCCCCCCCTTGGACCAGAGGGGACCCCCCCGCCAGCGAGGCGTGACCCGAGGTTGCCCCCCCCTCCAAAGGGGCACCCTGCGATCGAGTTCCTGCTCCTCCTCGCCGTCGCCGACGACGCCATCGGCCTCGGCATCATCGCGATTGCCTACCCCGACCCGCACCACCCGGTCCAGCCGCAGTGGATGGGCCTCGCGCTGGTCCGCCACCCGCCATCTCCCGCCATCTCACGAGATCTCCCGAGATCTCCCGAGATCTCACGAGATCTCCCGCGATCTCGCGAGATGGCGGCCGAGGATGTGCCTGGCGCCGGTCTGCACAGCCCGCCCCTCGCCCCACACGCCGCGTGTGTCTCCTCGCCTCTCAGGTCGGCGTGCTCTTCGCCTACCTCCTCCGCCGCTGCGGCTGCATGTCGTGGGGCGCCCACACCTTGCTGCTGTCGCGACATGTTGCCGCGGACGTGGAGCCTAACCTGACCCTCTCCTCCGAGCCGTACCGCAGGCGCCTACCTCGTCCTGGGCGGTTTCCCCGCGTGGGTGGCCCTCCTCAAGAGCGCACTCCACCCGGCGCTACAGAGTAGCGCGAGACCGCCCGAGATCGATCGATCACGCGAGATGTGCCCCGAGATCACCCCAGATGCACCCTTCCCGCACCCGGCGCCTAGCCCCCCCACAGCACGCGACTCCCCTCGAGGACTCTCTCTCTCACCGCTCTCTGGACCCCTCTCCCAGGCGCTCGCCCTCGTCTTCATCGTCCCCTTCCTCCCCGCCAAGCTGCCGCCCGGCTACGACCCCACCGCCTCGCAGCGCTGCACACTCTGCGGACGCGCTCTCTGAGCCTCGTCCGAGCCCTCCTCTCGACCTGCTCCGCACCTCGCTGCAGGCACTCTCTGCGACGCGGGCGTCACGTGCACGCTCGACTCGCGGCGCGTCTCCGCCGCGGTGCGCAGGCGGCTGGGCTGCTTTGCTTGCCTGCTGTGCGGCGACGAGGACGGCGACAGCTCCCACGATGACGAGTTGATGGGGCGGCACGCGCACGCGCCGCTGCACGCATTCGAGCACGCCCTCAAGGTGGCCGTCGAGCGAAGGGGGTACCCCGCCTTCACCCTGAAGGCCCTTCGTGGATCGTCCTCGGAGCCGCCCCGGTGTAGGTGCCTGTCGAGATCGGCATGTTCTTCTTCACGCTCGCCAACGCGGGGGTCAAGCTCGGCTCCGCCGGCACAACGCCCGCCTAGATGCCGCACGCCCCACGCCCCTCTCTTAGTCAAACTCCACGTCAAACTCCTCCCTTCGCCTGGCTCCAGAGGCCACACCATGCCGCGTCTAGCGCAGAGCTGCGTGGCCACACACACACACACACACACACACACACACACACACACACACACACACGGCTCCACACGAATGCGCGCACGTTCGGTCGAGGCTGCGAGCAAAGCTGGCCGTTCCCCTCCCCCCACACGCAGGCCCGCTGACGGTCGGCGTCTTCACCGCCCTCGTCGCCGGCAAGATGCTCGGAATCACGACTCTCGTCTGCCTCGCGAGCTGCTTGCGCATCGCCCCGCTCGCCGAAGGCATCATACCCCGACGTGGGGAGGCGGGCAGAGGCGCGGAGTCTTGTCGGAGCCCTCTCTGAGCCTTCCCGCGTAGGCATGACGCTGCTCGACGTGGTGATGGTGTCGGCCGTCGCATCCGTCGGTTTGACCGTCGCTCTGTTCGTCTCGGGCGAGACATAGCCGAGACACGCAGCCGAGATGCTTCGACCGTCGCTCTGTCGGCGGGCGAGGGGGATGGACCCAGCTTTGCGCCAGCTCAACGAGCGGCGAAGGGCGGCGCTTCCTCCCCGCCTGATGCCCGTGTGTGCCCGGTTGTGTCTGTCCACAGGCGAGGCGTACCAGCACGAGGAGCTGCAGTCCGAGTCGAAGCTAGGCGCCTCTCTTTGCCCAGCTCTCTTCTCGCACCCCCCCCCTTCCCGCCGAGGCTTGTCCCCCCCCCCCCCCCACAGGCGCTCTGCTCTCCGGCCTGATGGGGCTCGTCTGCTATGGCATCTCGAAGATGTCCTGCTGGCCGCACAACAAGAAGCCGTCGCTTGCGGGAATGGACGCGAGCAACACGAGCCAGGTCGGCCCCGCCAACGACGGAGGGGCGCCCGACGCGGGCTTGAGTCGGAAGGACAGCGCATGCAGCGCCACTGCGGTCGTCGACGGCGGCCTCGATGAGAGGTCATTGGACGGGCACGACGCCGCTGGCATCTGGGGTGCCCGCGGGGGGCACAATTCAAGCTGTAGGAGCAGCAACAACGGCGAGGGTGACAAAGACCGATACTCCACGCCCGCCGCGTACGCAGCCACCGCTCAACAGCACGCGTGGCTGAAGCAGGGCGCGCCCCAGAGGCAGAGGTGGCACCACTCCTGAGAGCACCCGCCGAACGGGGCGACGAACGGCGTGCGTCGTCTCGCCCCACCCGAGAGATGGCAGGAATGGGACAGAAAGAGACGGGCCGGGCAACATCGGACTATCACACCACACACAGCTTCGTTCCCTCGGCGCGGTGTGTGGTGTCGTCAGTCGTGTGTGGGGGCACGATGGGAGACGGTGTTTGCGCTGGGTCCTAAAAAAGGTTCCTTCGCCATGCGCGGTCCTCGCTGACCCTGCCAAACTCTCTCGCCGCCGTTCGCGGCTCGGCTTGCGTATGCGGTTGGGAGCTTCGAGGACATGCAGGCGTCCCGCCCCCTCCGGTCATCCCCCCCGGCTCCCAAGTGCGCGGCCGCGACGCGCTGCGCACCCTCTTCCGCGCTGCGCCCGCTCTCGGCATGGCCGTCGTCCGCCGAGATCACCTCCTCTTCGCGTCGCAGGTGCACAACCAAGGGCTGGCCATCTCCGTATCCATCATGGTGAAGCCAATGGGCCAAAAATGGAGGGAGCGCCCCTCCCAGGTGGCCGGAGGGTACACCTCGGGTCGGCGTGCTGGGGGGGCGCCGGTGCGCAAGCCCACTTTCCGGGCGACCCCGAGGGGGAGGAGGCCGGGCGAATGGCGGCAACTCATTGTTAGTGTCCCGGGCCGCTGCGGCACCGTTTATACGGCCCCTCGTGATGTCTTTCCGATTTTGTATTGTGAGTCGTCCTCTGGCCAGCCGAGGGGCACCAGAACGGCATGTGTACTGCTGCTGGCTGCGGGCGCGGAATGGGCTTTTTTTAACTCGCAACCAAGTATACTATATAAGGACACCCTCGGGGGGGACACTCGGCGCATGTGCGACACGTCAGGGTGGAGTTGGCGGTGGCCGAGCGTCGTCTCCCGATCGACTCGCAGCGGAGTCGAGGGGTGAAGCGCGTCGCGCTGCGACACTCGAGAGCCGGCGGGATGGCCGTGGGGCGCGGCCGACTTTGATGCCCTCGAAGGTCCAATGCGCAATCGTTCTGTGAGACCCACGCGTACAGGAAAGGGGGCGGAGACGCGCCATTCTGCTGGTACCTTTTTTGGGACCCATCGCTCCCGCGTTCCACACAGTGGGGAATGTGTGGGGCATGTTTGGCTTTGAGTATTGAGACACGTGCGAGTGAGAATTGAAACGATGAGGGAAAAAATCGTATATTCGACAGTGGCGTCGCGCCACTCTCACGTCTCAGACTCAGTTTCTCACGCGTGCTCAAAGCATAAGCAACTGACCCCACTTTCCTGGCCCGTGCGGCGGGCTTCCGGCCCGCTGGCCATCCGGACCCGCCCCCCGTCGGCGTCGCCATGCCAATGGCAAGGCGCGGGCAGCGATCGCGGCCGCGAGGATAGCGACCGCCGCAAAAGCCGCAACGATCGCCGCGACCGCGACGCGCTCGGGCGAAGCGGCGCTCCGTAGCGCTGAGAGGAGAGCGGCGTCCGCGTCCGCCGAGCATGACAAACGCGCCTCGGCACAGAGGCCTAGCGCCTCTGGCGAGCGCGGGAGCCGACTCAGCTCCTCGCGGAGGATCGCGGCGGCGGCGGCTCGCGCGGGCAATCCGGCACGGTCCTCCCCCACCTCGAGGACGGCGAGCGCCAGCGCCGGCCGGCGCGAGGCGTAGAGCGAGGGCGGCTCGTCGTAGCCCATCGCGTCTTGGAGGCGCACCGCCGCCTCCAGCTCAACCACCGCCGCCCGCGCCGCGTCGAGCTGGCCCGCCGTTGTGCGCCGCGCCGCGAGCACGGCCGCGCGGAGGGAGCGCACGTAGATGGCGGAGAGGAGGACGAGCCTGGACGTGTCACGGACGCGTCATGGGACGCGTCATGGGGACGTGTCATGGACGCGACTAGACGGCGGGAGAGGAGGACGAGCCTGCCGTGCTCGAGCGGGGTGAGGCGGCGCGACTCGGCCTGCAGCTCGAGGAGGGCGGAGATCGCCTCCTTGTTGCGACCCGTGTGCGCGAGCGCCATGCCGCGAGCGAACAGCGACGCCGCGCGCGCGTAGTGCAGGCCGGCGCGGGGCGGCGGCCGGTGCAGCGCCGCGTCCCAGTCGCGAAAGTAGACGTCCGTCAGCGCGGGCGCGGCGAGGTATCGCTCATAGCTGTTGAGGTCGGCCGAGTGCGCAGACACGAGCAGCCCACGCCTTGCGAACTCCGCGACGGCGTCGCCGGAACGCACGGCGGCGGCTCGGTCTCCCGCCATCCGGGCGCACCTACGGGACGCGTCATGGAACGCCTCTCCCGCCAGACGGGGGACGTGTCACGGACGCGTCTCCGGGCGCGCGCCAGACAAGAGACTCGAGGTTGTGCTCCGGGTAGACCTGCTCGACGAGCGGCCTCGCCGCCGCCGCCGAGTTGCATGACACGCACGCCTCGAAGCGACCGCGGCGCATGTCGATGTGCGACGGCATGTGGAGCAAGTGCGGCGCGTCCGGGCACAGCCCACGCAACGCGTCCGCCGCACCTGCAGGAAGAGTCCGAGAAGGGTCCGAGAAGTGTCCGGCGGAGGCCGCGCAAGCCGCGCCGTCGGCGCCGGCCGCGTCGGCGACGTGCGAGTCGGAGGCTTCGTTGAGGTGGATGAGGAGATGGAGGCCGCCTACGGAGACCGCTCCGAGAACCGTCGAGGGAGTAGGACGAGGCGAGGCGGAGGAGAGGGAGGTGCCAGGCCGCCTGGGTGCCCCGGTGCGAGGGCAAGCGTCGCCAGCAGGTGCGCTTTGGCGCGCGCCGCGTGCGGCCGCGCCCTAGTGCCCGCCGGCAGGTCTGCCTATCGGAAGTGTCAGGGACGTGTCAGGGGCATGTCAGAGACACTCGTCCTTCCCACCTCCGGTCGCTTGCCCAATAGTCCCACGGCGCCACGTTCATCCACGCGTCCGCCGCCAGGTAGCGCACGAGCGAGTGCGATTTCTCCGCGCGCGCCGCCGCCTCCATCGCCTCGGCATACGCGATGCGCTGGACAACGGTCGCTGCTGCGTTGGTGGCGTTGGCGGCGTAGCGGACCGCGAGAGCGCGCACCAGCCACCAGCCCGCCGCCGCGTCGCGCAAGCTGCTATCGCGTGCGCTGGGCGGGAGCAGCTGCGTGCTGTTGCCGGGCACGTGCGGCGGGAGCAGCTCTGCCGCGCGAGAGGCGGCAGCTCGTGCGGCGGCGAGCGAGAGTGGAGGCTTGAGGGCGTGGTTGAGGGTGGGGCCGAGTGACCAGCCGACACCCCAGTGGCACATGGCGCACGATGGCGCGAGCAATTCGCACCGCTCAAACGCCTCGCGTGCGCGGAGAAAGTCGAAGCCGAGCGCAAGGCGCATGCCCTCCTCGAAGGCAAGGGTCGCGCCGCCGCCGCCGCCGCACGCGCTGAAGCGAACCTCGCAGCTGCGGCTGCCGGAGAGGTTTGCGATCGGCATGGGCTCGTCTTGCTTCGTGAGGACGCCGTTGAACAGCGCAGCCATCGTCAGCCATCGCCGAACCATCCGTGTCGCAGGCGGCGCGATCCGTGTCGCCGGCGGCGCGCGGCGAGGCTTGAAACGGCCAGGGGCAAAGGTAGCAGCGAGCCGAGCGCAAGCAGGAAGGCCGCCTGCGAGCTGCGTGAGAAACGAGACGGAAGACAGGCTCGGTCTGGCACGGTGCGGTATGGGGGCGCGTTAGTCAGCTCAGCCTCAAGCGCCACGACGAATGGGGCGCGTCAGTCCGCGCCGCGCGCATTGAGCCCTTCAGCTCCGTCACCTGGCTCAAGCGCGTCGCCGACCGAGCAGGGAGCAGCGCCCCTCCCTTGGCCACCAGGCCACGCCCAAGTCGCGCACGCAGGGCCTTATCTCTGAAACGCGGACGCTCCAGCCTCCCAGCTCACCACCTCGCCTTCTCTGTCGCCCTCCTGGCCCAGGCCCATCAGTAGTAAGTCTGAGCCGTCCCAAACCGCACTCACCTTGGGTCTGCAAGCTCACACCGGCTCGTGATGCCACGGAGAGGGCTCGAGATTGTCTCCGGTGGACCCCATCCGAGGCGATTGCGAGGGCTTTCCGGAGGTCATCATCGGTGCCACCGACCGTGATATGTCTCGTCCCGTAGTACTCATGCACCAGGCGCATGGATGCAGTCATAATATGTAGGCCTTATCTCCCGAAGTTTTGAGCAATAGCCGCCAATAGTACTTTTTGGCACTTCATCGCGACACGTCCAGGTGCCGACAAAGCGGCTTCCCAGCTCACCACCTCGCCTTCTCTGTCGCTCTCCTGGCCCAGGCCCATCAGTATCAAGCCTGAGCCGTCCCAAACCGCACTTATCTTGGGTGATGAAGCTCACTCTGGCTCATACCACGGCTCTGCAGCCTCACACACGCCCGTTTCAGCCACAGACACCGCCGGCACGCACTCCCACTTCACACATGCTCAAACACAACCCCACCAAAGGCAAAGCACATCCCTGCTCAGAATTGGCAAGGGCTACCACTTGGTGACCCAGGCAGCCTTTGGCTCGCCACTGCACTCGGCTCCTCTCAATGCGTGTCGGGCACCCCCCACGACAGCACGCCGACGGCAAGCTTTGACGCCCGTCTGGTGGACCTGCTGTGGCCACAGCCGCCCCTCACATGCAGCTCGCACCATGACTCGACACCGGGCCCGCTCATCCCGGTCCTGGCGGCGTGTGTGAAGGATGCGCGGCCAAGCCGCTGGCTGGCGCCGCTTGAACGTCCGAGATGGCCGCAGCACAGGCCACGCGTCGCGCCGCCGGCCAAGCGCAAGCCCAGCCTCTCGGCGGTCGAGTTGGTCGAGCTGGCGGGCGGAGAGCCGCCAAGAGGGCAGCAGCGGGGCGTGAGAGGCCGTGCGAGCTAGCGCAAGCGCAAGCGCTAGCGCTTCGGGCGATTCGATTAGGCGGCCTACCTAGGCCTTTAACAACGAAGGCGCTCTCAAAAAGAAAGGCCATTCAGCAGACAGAACTCCCTCGCGCTGTGCGCTGGTCTGTGAGAGGTTGAGGTGCGAGCCCGTCTCAGCACAAGAGTCATGACGGCCGCTTCCTCCGCGGCGCCGAGAAGCGACAGCGGCGGCGAAGAGCACGAACGCTGCATGGCGGCGGTCGAGAGTGCGCTCGAGTACTGCCCACGCGTGGCCCAGCTCCGTCAGGCGCCTCGACCGCCGCTCCGCGTCGCCCACCCGCTGCCGCCGCTGCTGTGACTGCCCGTCTCCCTCTCTCCGCCCGCACCTCTCGCTCCAACCGTCTCTCGCTGGCGGCTGCAGGCGCTGCAGAAGCTTGGGCGGGATGTGCCCGTCTCGTGCATGCGCTGCCCAGACCCGGAGGCGGGCAAGACGGCGGCCGCGGGCGGCTTCATGCCCGACACCGGCACCATCGTCATGTGCCAGCAGTGGGCGGCGGAGCAGCCCGGGGAGGTGGCGTGGCACCGCCTAGAGACGCAGCGCTCTCTCCCGATGCCGGAGAGAGGAGAGCCTGCGACTGTCGCCGCGCCCGCCGCCTCTCAGCCCGCCCGCCGCCTCTCTGCCCGTGTGAGACGCCGTCCACTGGGCGGCCAGGTGCCAAACACGGTGGCGCACGAGATGATCCACGCGTACGACGACGCGCGCGCGCGCCTCGACTGGACCAACCTCGTCCACCATGCCTGCACCGAGATCCGCGCCGCCAACCTCTCGGGCGACTGCTCCTTTTGGCGCGAGGTGAACCGCGCAAACGTCTCGCCGCTGCGCGTCGCAAAGGCGAGAGGGCGGCCACGTCTCGGGCATAGCTCGGCTAATCTCGTCCGAATCTCGTCTTCTGAATACACCTCGGCCCACCCCCGGCTGACTCTCGGCTAACACGCCGCTGCGCATCACCAAGGCGGGCGAGCGGTGCGTGCGACGGCGCGCGCACCAGCTGCGCCGCCGGCAACACCGCGCGACGCCGCTCACCTTGCAGCGGGTGAGTAGGCGCGCGCAGATCTCGGTCGCCATGAACCCGGCGTGCACGTCGGAGCGTGCAGCGGAGGCGGCGGTGGATCAGGCGACCACACACCACCACCGAGACACTCTCCCGAGACGCCTCCGCCTACAGACTTCCTCGTGGCGGAGCAGGCGATGAGGCACTGCTTCGCCGACACGGCGCCCTTTGAGCGCGTGCCGTGAGCGTGGCGCCCTGGACACTTGCGATGATGCGCCCATGCCTCACGGCACCGCGGCACACGCCAGGTTCGTGGTAAATAAATAAGCCTCCTTGTGACTATTTGTTATTGAGAAGTACCCGGCTCTAGATGAAACCTCGCCAACATGGCGCGCTGTCTTTGAAAGCATGAAAAGAAATTGTAAAACGACTTCCACAAACATCACTCACCTCACGGTAGAGCGCACCACATTCCTCTCCTTAAAATCCCTGTGTGGTGGCGGCGTGCCGTTCTCCCATCCCTCCCTTGGGTCCGCGCTTTGCTTTCTTTCTTTCTTACTCACCTCAGCGTCGCTCCGACCTCTCTCGGTTCTCTTCTACGAATGCTGGGTTTAACGACGTACGCGGTCTCTCCAGACCCGGCGCACACGCGTTTCCTCATCCTGGCGCCGGCCTGCGCCGGCCTTCGCCTTCGAGCTCGCGGGGGGTCGTTTGAGTGTCATCCCCCATTCGCTCTTGTCGTTCAATCGGATAACAATCGTCGTTCGTTCTGCCTCTCCCCGCTTCGAGGCTCGAGATTCGAGGCGTCTCTCCGCGCACGCGTCCTCCCTTTTCTTCTCCTCGGCCTCACGTTGTCGACGTCGCCTCCGTCGTCAGCAAATACCCTTTCTTCAGGCCCGCTATTTCTCTTATCCTCGGGCGTTCTTCACACGGGAATCGCAGGGCAGATTGTGAATGAGCTTGCCTGCGGCGGGGGCTGGCGGGTGCACGGAGCTAAGTGCCTATGTATGTATGTAGGAAGGTGAAGAACAGTCAGGCTCGGACTGGACACCAGCGCGGGATGGGTGGACGACAGAAGTGCCTGTGGTGATGCCTTTGGCGAGGGTGCTGGCGGAGGAGGGAGCGTCTGTCGTCGAGGCGTGCATGGTGGAGTGGGACAGGAGGGGCTTTGGGACTAGTCGCGGCGAGGATGGAGCGGCGGCGTGGCGGCGCTCGGTCTACTCGGCTTTCGGGCAGCTCTCGGTCGCGGCGCGGGGCGCCATGGTCGAGGTGCTCGTGGCGGAGTACAACTGCTCCTACATCTGCGGCCGGGAGTGGTGTCGGCGGCAAGGGGAGCGGCACAGGTGGCGGGTGGAGGTTTGGTGGCCCGGGCGCGGGTCGCTGGTGGTGATGGGGGAGGGCATCGCTGGGGAGGTGGAGGGGTGGCGGGAGCAGATGAGGGCTGGGCAGCATCTGCTGCTCACCGAGGACCTGGTGGCGCTGCTGCGCGGCGCTGGCTGGGGGGGGCGGGAAGTCCCGTCAGGGACGCCAGCGGGGGGCGCGGCGGGAGCGGAAGTGGTGGGAGTTGGATGAGGGGGATGATGTTTGTTTCGGCGAGCACTACGGTGCTTGCGGATTCGATCATCCGCCTTCGGCCGACTTCCTCTATGGCGAGGACGACGGCTTCTAAGGAAGCCGTCGTCTGCGCCTTGTTAGTGCCAGCGCGCGCAACAGACAAGGGAGGGATGGGAGGACGGTGCCCAGTGTCGTGCGACCGGCTGCCGTTGTAAAATTCTTCACAAGCCCTCGCGGGCTCGAGCATGCGCAGCGTCATCTTCGATGGGGGCATCCGTGTGCCTTCGTACGTCGCCTCCATTCCGCGCAGCAACACCACGCCCGCGTTTGTGGTGCCCGACTTCTTCAACGCCTTTGTGCTGCCGGACTTCTTTGGCACCCAAGGCAGGGCGGTACGTGCACTGCACCAGGCCGACCTCGAGCGTGCTCGTTTCGAAAGCCGTCGAACACCCGGCCGAGTATTCGTTCGCAATTGCTCCGAGCTGCTGGCGCCGGAGCTACCCAGAGCGGTCCGCAGCATTTGGCAGACGCCCTTGGTTCTGGAGGCGCTCCGCGCCCGCACGAACACGTCGCTGCGGCTCTTCCCGCCGACGGACGAGAAGTCGGTGCACGCTCTGCGATATTCCGAGCCGGGCGATGGCATCAGCCCGCATTTCGACGGCAACCCGTTCCAAGGGAGGCGGCTGGCTGTGATCTATGTGGTGCGTGACGACGCCGAGAGCCTCCTGCACTTTGAGGGCGAGCCTGTGCAGGCGCCTGAGGGAAGTGTGGTGATCTTCGAGGGCGATCGGTTGCGGCACTCCGTCCCCCCGCGACAATCGCAAGGCGTTCGACTGGTCGTGAATGCTCTGTTCTGCGAGCCACCTTGTGAGCATTGCTCCTGCCAGCACCGCGAGCGAGGACTGCGCCACCACAGCTCTTCCACAGCTCGGTCCGGAAGGGCCGTACACGCACGGCTGCAACACGTGGGCCGCTCTTCGGCGATCGGCGGCGCGGCTGCAGTCAGCTGGCCTGCCACGAGGCGCGAACGCGACTGACTAACACGGGTCACGGCTTTGGGGACCGCGGTAGTACCGTAGCGACGCTAGCGTGTGCCCCAGCCCAGTGCCCCAGGCGTCGCCCGCGTACGCTGAACGCGTCCCGTCGGAGTAATAAGGCGAGAGGGCACCTCTAGGGCACGTCCTGGTGATATATGTGCTATACATGTCATCGCGTCCGGATGGAGGGCCACCGGTGTCGTTCGACGTCCTGTCGACAGCGTGCCGACAGCGCGACACAGACCATGTGGGACGCGTCGAGTACCGACCTCTACTGCTTACCCAGCCTTCGAGTGTATCCTGGCTGTGGTCCCACACCCACTGGTGTCCATCTCAGAGACCGCAGGAGGTCATGAGGGTCGATGGGAGTGCCAACCCCACAATGCCTAAAAACCCAGCCCAGTACGGCTTTGATGTGTATCAACAAACGTCTGGCTCGGCGGAGCGTCTCAGGCAAGAGGGCCGCACAAGCCGCACGTACCGCCAGCTGTGAAGCGGAGAGGTAGCCACGTACTAATCTACACCACGGAACGCCTTCTCTCTCGCCAGACTCTCTCGCCGTCGGTTGGGCCCTCCCGCCGGGCCTGGCCCCGCGACGCTAGAGCGGGCACGCGCAGAGGGCACCGTCTGGCGGACGGAGGGTCAAGTTGCCGTACGGGGCGCCTTGGAGGGCGGCGACGCCTGCACAGGGGGGGGGGAGGAACCGCGTCGTTAGAGAGGGCGGCGGGTGCAAACGCTGTGTGTGCGGAGGTGGGAGGCGTGGCGCACCGCTTGAAGCCTGAGATTGCGCCCTCCGTGGCATCATGCTGTGGAGCTGGAAGCACCGGCGGCACGCCAAAACGGCTGTCGTGTGGCGTCTTGGTAGCAGCAGATCTTCGCACCTTCGCCTTCGGCCTCGAACTCCTCGAGCGCCATGCACTTCTTGAAGTAAGCTGCCCAGAAGCCTCGGAGCTCCTCATCGTCGCCGACAAAGTCCTCAGTTGTGATCATCACGTTGTACGCGTTCTGTCAGCCATAGCGTGGGTGCTGCACGTCCCATTCGCTCGAGACGAGACACAGGTCGTTTGCGTTACCCCACCTCCAGACCCACTCAACCACAGCCTCGGCGGAATCATGCAACGAGCACTCTTCCGTCCCGTCCTCAATCTGCACATACAGGGAGTAAGCACCCTCGTCCTTGCCGACGTTCTGTTTGCCTTTGGTTGGATTTCTCCTGCTTTTGCCGATGGGTGTCTTCGGCGCCATGCGCGGTCAGGTTGCAAGAGCGCCGAGTCTGCCGTCAGTCACTCGGGTCACTCGCGCGTACTTTTTCTGTGTTTAGTGTTCGCCGGCATAACGAGGCATAACGCCCGTGCCCCCGAGTTCATTTTATATAAGTAACGCAGGTTTGTGTACTTCTTGCTTGGGCGGCACTCATGATGAAATTCTGCAAAAACCTGGCCGGCCCCTGCCCTGCCCCTACCTACCTACCTACCTACCTACCTACCTTACTTATAAACTAAAAAAGAAATCACTGACGGGTGAAGGTGGGGTACTATACCAACTAGAGTGATGGTTGGTGGTACTCTCCTGCAACCACAGTCCTTTCTTGTGACATGGCAGGCCACTCTCAAGGCCATACAAGCATCAATCAGATCACCCACTTGGGGAGGGTTGACATCGTGATTTCGCCGGAAATTTTCTTTTTTTGCTCCGAAAATTCCAGCTTGAAGAGAGGGAAAACCCCGACTGGAGGGCCCAGGCCTACCCTACCTACCCCGTCGTGAGTGTACCACACCTGCATACGACGGTGATGCCGCCGTCCTATTCCCACTTGCGGGGCCATTCTTCTTTAGTGCATTGCTGTTCTTAACGGAGTCGCTTAGGCGGCTCCGGTGGTGAGCCGGTGTGTGTGCCAGTCCGCGCCAGTCCGCGCCCTTGTCGTGCCAGTGTGCTGTGACAGACGCGGCATTCTTTTCGTCAGGCATAACCGGGTGTATGCCGCCGTCCTCCTCCCGCCTCTTTGCAAAGCTCGACGCGGCGCTCGGCGACGCGCTCGGGTGCGAGGTTCCGTCCGGTCGCTCGCTGGCGCTGCTTTTGCAGCATGGCACCGCAAATTCACTTTCGCCAGGTGGCGCTGCGGCCAGTGTGGCGGCGCACAGCTACGCGCTCCGGCAGCGAGGCCTCGTCAGCGCAGCTGAGGCGCTCGAGCAGACCGCTGCCCCCGTGCTCTCCGACTCTTCCACACCGGCACCGGCGCCCGCCGCTTTGTCGGGCAGCCTGGCCGCGGAGCACGAGCGGTGCGAGCGGTGGGGTCTGTGCGAGCCCGCGCTGGCGCTGCGCCTGCTCCTCGCTCTCGCGCGGTCCGCGCACCCCGCGCCCGAGGCGGCGGGCGCCCGCTCCTCCCTCCACCGGCTCGGCGCGGCAGGCCTCTGGGTGCCCTCCGGCTCTGCAGCGGGCCGGCCCTTTGGCCTGCTCGCTGCGGAGCGCCTGGTCGTCCCGCCGAGCGGCGGCGTCTGTGTGCGCAGGCAGGGCGGAGGCAGCCCCAACCAGCAGCGCCGCAGCATCGCGGGCTGCGCGGGTGCGGTGAGCGCGTCCCCTCCGGACGCGAGCAGCTTCTTCCGTGTCCGACAGCACGCGAGGGAAGGAAGGCCCCCGTCTATGGCGCGGCGGCTTGGCGCCCGCCCTGCCTCGCAGCCCCGCACTCCGCGTGAGGCCATCGGCTCGCCCGCGCTGCCAGCGACGCCGCCGCCTCGCCGCCTCGCGCCTCCGCCTCTGCCGCCTCCGCCTCTGTCGGCGGCGCAGCGAGGCGCTGCCGGCGCGCCGCTCCTCACGCCGGCCACCGGCGTGCGGCGGCAGTGGCTTGCGCCGACAGACGGCGATGGCGCCGCCGCGGCGGTGCAGCTGCTGCTCGCCCTGCAAGGGGCGGGAGAGTGGCGGCTCGGCGTGTCCCCCGCACACGCGCCGAGTGGCTGCGCCGCCACGTGGCGCGAGGTGGCGGCGAGCCGCGGCCGTGCGCAGGCGCTGTGCGAGACGGCGACGGCGCTGGAGCGGGGCGGCTGGGGCGCCGTCGGCCGCGCGCTCGGCTGCGCCGTCCAAGCTGCCCTCCGCCGCTGCACAAAGGCGTTGGCCGACGTCCCGCGGCTGGTGAGTCAGCTCGCGGCGGACGAGGCGGCGGCGGCGGTCGAGGGCGGCGGCGGCGGCGGTGCTGAGTCGTGCCGGCTGACGGTGCTGGGCGCGGCGATGCACGCGCGAGGGGCCGCCGCAGAGCACGCACGGCTCGCAGCCTCCCTCCTCGCCGCGTTCGCCTCGGGACACCCCAGCAGTGATCGGAAAGCGGGCGCGCCTCCCGCGGCGGCGGCCGCCGCCGCCCTGCGCGCTCTGCCGTCGGCTGGCGACGGCGTCGTCCTCTTGCGCGGCCTGGAGGCGCACGCCGCCTCCTCCTCCCTCGGGGCGGCGCCACGGCAGGCCGCGCTCGCGGCGGCACTCTTTCGCGAGGCGGCGCTGCCGTGGCTGCGGGAGCTCGGAGAGGTCGCCTTCGGCGAGCACGCCGCAGGCGCGACTCTGCGCTTTGAGCCGGACCTCTCCGCCGCGGCCGAGGAGTGCGGCGCGTGCGTCGCCATGCTCCGCTCCTCGGCGGTTGCCGACCGCTACGCCAGCCTTGCGCTCGCACTCGCGTCGGGCGCCGTCCCCCCGGCGTCGCCGAGGGACGCGTCGGGCCGGAGCGGCAGGCTCGCCATTGCGGCGGGGGCCGCGTTCGCCTGGCTGCCCGCTGGAAGCCGCTCTCTCGCCTCTGCGCGCGAGGCGTGGGCCGGCCGTTTCTCGCGCGGCGAGGTGGGGCCGCCCTCACCTCCCGCGCACCCACCATGCCCGCTGCCCAATCCCGCCGCCCCGGCTTTGCGCGGCCCCGGCGCTCGCGCTGCCCCGGCTACCCTCTCCTGGCTCGAGGAGCGCCGTCGTATGCCCTCGCAGGCCATCCTCGCGTCCATCGAGCGCGCGTACGAAGAACGCGACGCGGCGGCCGCCGCCCGCCGCCGCGCGGAGTCGAATGCCGCTCGATCCGCGGCTGAGCTCTCGCGGGCGCGGGCGGCGGAATGGGAGGAGGAGCTGGGCCGACGCCGCCATCAGGCTGCTCGTGCGCGGCGCGAGGAGCTCGAGGCGCAGCTGTCTGAGCAGGCGGCGGCGGCGGCGGCGGAGGCGGAGGCAGCGGAGGCGGAGGCGGCGGCGGCGCGGCAAGCGGCGGCAGAGGCGGCGGCAGAGCTCGAGCGCGCACGAGCAGCACTCGAGGCGCGTTATGCTGAGGCTGCTGCGGGCGCTGACCGCCGGTTGCGGATGGCCCGCATGCGTGCATCGCGTGCGAGATCAGATGCTTCCTCGCGGTCGCCCGCTCTGGCCGACGAGCAAGCAGAGCCGGCAGAGGGGCGAGGGATTGAGGCGGCAGAGGCGGGAGAGGCAGCGGCAGAGACAGAGGCGGAGGCGGTAGCAGAGGAGGCGGCGGTTTCAGAAGAGGCAGCAGAGGAGGCGGCAGTGAGCGGAGCGACGGATATGACTGCTGAGGTGGTGGCTGAGGCAGCTACAGAGGAGGCGGCGGGGGCGGAGGTTGAGACCGGCGAGACGGCATGGGAGGCGGCGGTGGAGGCGTCCACAGAGGAGGGGATAGCGGATGCTGCGGAGGGCGAAGAAGCGGAGGCCATCCGAGAGGCGAAGCTGAGGGCGGTGGCGGCAGAGGCGGCCGTGGATGCCACGAGCAGCGACCACAGCGCTGCCCTGGTCGCTGCGGCGTCTGCGGCCGCTCGCAGGGAGAGGGCGGCGGCGGTGCTGAGTGACGCGCTGGGAGAGACGCCCGCTACCCGAGGAGAGGCGTCGGCGCTCGCAGAGCAGACCTCGTCCCGAGGGGACGCCGGCGGGTGGCTCCGCGACGCGGGTCTGCCTGAGTGCAGCGAGGGCGGGACAGTCGAGCCGCCGCTGAGCACCGTGCTGGAGGCGGCTGCCTCCCTCGCGCAGAGTCTGGTGAGCTCAAGCTCGAGGATCACCCTGTGCCTTGCACCTTGCTACAGGCGTGCGTCCGCCGCCCGCTGGTCGCCTGCTCGTCGCTCCTCGGCCGCGCCGCAGTTCTGTACTTGCAGCGCGAGTGCGCGCTCTCCGCTTGGCTCGCTTCGCTCCAGCGGTTCTTGCTCGGTTCGCGCACACGCTTCCCAGACCCCTCCCACCATGAGATGGAGGCTTGCGGGTGCGCCGCGGCATGAGCCCCCCCCGTCCTTCCTGCCCGCTCAGGGGGTGATGCGGACTTTCTCGACGCCCTCTGCGCCGAGCTGCACGCAGCAGTCTCGTCCGGCAGCTTCGGAGATGGGGCCAGCCCGCCGCCCACCACGCTCCAGCGGGCGTTGGATCTCGCAATCACGCGCGCCGACAGGGCGGCGGAGGGTGAGGAGGCGGAGTGTGCCGCCGATTTGCAGCTCGTGTGGGTTTCGCCGAGCGGCAGCGGGTGGAGAACCGCTGACGCGCTTCACCGAGTGGATGCGTTCGATGGGCTTTCACTCGCGCTTCCTCTTCCACGGGCGCTGCATGGCGTGCTCGACGTTGCCGCCTATCGCGCCGTCTTCCTCTTCTCGTTGCGTCTCAAGCGTGCGTCGCTTGCAGTCCGCTCTCTGTGGAGCGTGTTGCGGCCCGCTTCGGCCGCGCCGGTCCCGCCTGGCGCTCTTCGCAGGCTGAACGTGCACCTCCACCTCCTCGGCCAGTTGCTTCGCGGCATCGAGGGCCACACCCTCCGCGCCGATGCCACGTGGGTCGAGCTGCGCTCCGCCGCATCGGACGTCGCTGCGTCGCCGACGCAGCTGCGCGACGTGCACGATTCGTGCTTGCGTGAGGTGTCACGCCGCTGCGGCATCGACGATCTGGGCGTCCGCGCCATCGTTGACGCCATCTTGGGCCTTGCGCTCACACTTGAGCGGGACGTCCATATCAAACTAGCCGAGGCCCCCCATCCCGCCGAGCGCTGCACTCAGGAGGCGGGGTGGCGGGCCATCGTGGACTCGCAGCAGGTGCAGCTCGCCCGATTATGCGAGGCTCTTGGCCGCTCTACAGCTAGCCTTGCAGCGATTGCGTCTGCTACAGGCGCAGCCTTGGGTGCAATTGCGTGATTTTTTTACCGCCCAAAGTGCCCCCAAATATTGGGGCCGGTTGCACATCGTCGCATCGAGTTTACCAACCACCAGCCCCCTCGACGCGCACTACAGTTAGGAGTTACGGCTCTAGCATCTACGATCTGATGCTCGGCTTTCCACACACATGGACATGCCCCGACCGGTGCACATCTTCATCGCAGGGGGCGTAGAGCTCTACGCAGAGACCAGCGAGAGAAAGAGGGCGAGGGCCCGACCTACTCGCGCTCTCGAAAAGCGTAGAAGCAGATGGGGCCACCATGGTGTCGCGCTCCACCTACGAATTGTCCTCTTTTGCGTGCCACTGATATGTGGATCGAGCGATGCCGCCGGATGCAGTCGTGGAGGCTGTCATGCGCAGATAAGAGGTTGGGACGCTCATTGCTCTTTGCGCACCTTGAAGGTCGTCCGCCTCCTTCTCCGCCACAAGGCATCGAGCCTGATGCGGTGACTCGGACGGCATTCCAGATGTTGAGGAGAGCAAAGGCGACACGGACTTTGACGGCAGCCCTGACTACCTTGATCCTATCTCCGACGGCGATGGCATCCCCGACGCAGTGGAGGGCAGCGGGGATGCAGACGGGGATCCTGGGTAGTCGACGGGCCCCCGGGGGCGACGGGGGTGCTCTCCGGCCGCGGCGGCCGAAAACGGGGGTCGGTATTACGGTGTATTAATGAAGTGATGCACTTGATGCAAGGGTGCCATTGTGCTCTACTACAAAAGTTGTGTAAGATGCCCAAGTCTCAGACCCTGAATCCTTAGCGGAGCTGAGTTCTGACGGTGTGAACACGAGCAACCGGAGTGACGACCGGGACCGGGCCGCACGCCGGGAGTGCCCCGACTAGCAGTGACGGGCGCGGACGAGCGAATGAGAGGTCGCTATCTGTGGGAGATGTGTTATTAGAGACTAGGACTGCCTATCTCTCACTAAAAGGAACCTCTCATCCGCTCGTCCGCACCCGTCACCGCTCACGGAGTGCTCCGCGTGCCGCACCGGCCGCCGCCGGCCGCGGCCGCTCACGGTAACGGAACAGTGTTACTACTCCGCAACGTTGAGCTGGATCATACTGAATAGTGCTCCTGAAAGCCCTCTCTGGGCTCTGCCACACACAGTAGCAGCTCACGACTAGCAGCTGGTGTGGCTGTATTTGTAGCCATTTTTAGGCTTCAACTGGTCCCAACATAGTAGCAACACCTCATGAAAATCAGTCAAAAAAGCCCAAAAATAAAATCGGCGCCTGCGGCGGGCCTCCTGGGGCTGCGCCCCAGACCCCCTTGACTGTGGGGACCCCCCCCAAGAGCACCCCCGTCGCCCCCGGGGGCCCGTCGACTACCCAGGACGGGGATGGAGTGCCAGACAACCTAGACCCCGACTCGGACGGCGATGGGATTGCCGATGCTGAAGAGAGCACAGGTGAACTCAGACAGTGACGGCATTCCAGACTACCTCGAGGACAACATCAAACGATCAGAGAGACGCGGGCAGTGATGGCCTACCCGACGCCGAGGACCCCGATGCTGACCCCGGGCACGACTAGATTCTTCCTGTGTGGGGACGAACCAGTATGCGCGGCGACGCCGTCTCCCGACCTCCCGAGGGCCCCAACTCGGACGGCGACGGCACCCCCGACAGCGCCGAGGGCACGGCCGACACGGACGGCGACGGCATCCCCGACGCACTAGACCCCGACTCGGACGGTGACAGCAAACCCGACGCCGAGGAGGGCACCGCCGACTCTGACGGCGATGGCATACCCGACGCCAAGGAGTCCAACACCGCCGACGGCGACAGCGATGGCGTGCCCGACGCCGAGGATGCTGACTCGGACGGCGACGGCATCCCCGACAGCGCCGAGGGCACAGGCGACACGGACGGCGATGGCATCCCCGACGCCCTCGACCCCAACTCGGACGGCAATGGGATTGCCGATGCTGAAGAGAGCACAGGCGACTCAGACAGTGACGGCATTCCAGACTACCTCGAGGACAACACCAAAGACACGGACAGTGATGGCCTACCCGACGCCCTCGACCCCGACTCTGGCGGCGGTACCGACGAGTTTGGTGGTAGCATCGTTTTCGCAGATTACGGCGAAGGACCCGACGGCGACCCAACTGGACTGCAACCAACGGGCCTGTCCACTGTCGGGAACAAGAGGTACCGACTTGAAACGGGCGAGTGCGGCACCCCGGACTTTGTGTCACAGAGGCCGAACAAGGTAAACCCCTACGCGCCCGAGGGCGACTTTTGTGGCGCGCCATAGTTGGTTGGGGTCTGCAGCCGGAAAGCTATAGCGACGCACACGCGGCAGAGTGTGTGACCTATTGGATGGCACCATCGGCAGCCGTCCGCCCCTCAGAGACGTACATTGCCGCATGCGAATACACGCAAGGCGAAGGCGACGACGGGCTCTATACATGCCACATGGGGGCCGCATGTATCAGCGTTGCCCATCCGCGCGTCGCAGACGCCTCTCTCCCCCGCCGTTCCCCCCAGCACCATCGCCTTCACCATTCCCGCCTCCATTCCCGCCGCGAGAAGGTTATTTGGCCGACTAGCATTGTAGCCGAGTGCAGGAAGGAGAGGTAGCCGAATGCAGGAAGTAGAGTCGAGCTGGACGTACGTCTACGTGGTAGGGTATACGAGCGCCTCGAGAGACGAGCGCGGGTTGGCGGGATCCGGGAGGGGAAGCGCGGGTCCGCGGCGGGTGGACAGAGATTTACTTTAGAGCGAGATAGAGGGGAAGAGGTTGTCTTATTGCACACAAGCATCCCATACATGGTACCACCTTCTTCGTAATATAAGACAAGGGGTGAACTTATCTACACCATCTACGCAGCAGAGCGACTGGCGCGATTCAGCATACTGGCGCGATTCAGCAGTAAACGTCACTCGTGCGCCTTGCGAGCAGAGTCCATCGCGGAGATAGCGGCTACCCTCTCATGGCTCAGGGCCTCGTGGCGCGCGTCGCCATCGGGCGCCTGCATGTCTGCCGCGTGCAGCGCAGCAAACCTGCGCGCCTCGCCGCCGGCCGCGAGCTCGCGCAGCTCGTCGCGCACGGCGCCGAGAGTGAGCTGGCCGAGCAGGGCGGGCCGGATCGAGGCACGCGCCTGGACTCCCTTGACGCGCGTGTCGCGCACCTACCTCGGGTGACCTCGGGTGACCTCGGGTGACCTCGGGTGATCTCAAGTCGTCTGGGGTGGTCTCAGGTGAGCTTGCGCGCCGAGATGTAGAACTGGCGCCGGACGCGGTCGGGCGACTCGTTGGCGCCCCCGCAGTGCAGCACCTGCGGTGTGTGTGTGTGTGTGTGTGTGTGTGTGTGTGTGTGTGTGTGTGTGTGTGTGTGAGTGAGTGTGAGTGTGAGTGTGTGTGTGTGTGTGTGTGTGTGTGTGTGTGTGTGTGTGTGTGTGTGTGTGTGTGTGTGTGTGTGTGTGTGTGTGTGTGTGTGTGCCGCGCGTGAGGCGGAGAAGGGCGTCGAAAAGGCGTCGGAAGGGCGTCGGAAGGGCGTCGGAAGGGCGTCTTTGCAGCGCCTGCTGGTTGTACAGCGCCACGTCGCCCTTCTTGAGCAGGCCGAGCTTGACGGGGCGCGAAGCGATGTACTCCTCGTCCACGACGTTGGTGGGCAGCCCCACCTACGGCAGCCATGTCAGCCATCGTGCCACGTTGCCCTCGCCCACCTGTGTCGGCGGTGCGCCGCCCCACCGTGTCTCTTCCCACCCTCGAAGGTTGCCGCCGTAGAAGGCGGTGTGCTCCGCCTACGGGAGGAGAAGCGAGAGGCCTGGAGAAGGAGGGGGGGGGGGTTGGGAGTCCGTCCCCGGCGGGCGAGTGCCTCCGTGTGAGTGCCGGGCAGGTAGATGGTCGGACCCATCTCTGCGTCCACGTCCTGCGGGCCGCACGCCAGGGACGCGTCATGCGGGGTGGTGGTGGTGGTGGTGGCGGTGGCGGCGGCGGCGGTGGTGGTGGTGGCGGTGGTGGTGGTGGTGGTGGTGGTGGTGGTGGGGTCTCCTGCAGCGCGACAAAGGCGGCGTACAGCGGCGGGGTGGGGCTGTAGGGGGTGTCTGGGTGGAGCGGCTGCTGCTTCGAGCCCGGCTCGGAGATGAGGCACGCGAGCTCGTTGAAGGAGGCCTGAGGAGCCGGTGGTGCGAGTGCGGGTGACCCGGTGGCTCGAGGCGAGGCGCGAGCGGCGCCCAAGGAAGGATGCCTCCCGCCCGACAACCTCCTCGAGCAGCGACCCGAGTGCGGACGCCTCGCCGAGCAGCTCCTGCACGAGCATTGCCGACACGAGGGGTGACGGACGGGAGACTGTGGTCGGGAGACCACGTCCCTGGGTCGGGAGGTGGGGTCGAGAGGAGCGCGCGGCACGCTCCTGCATCGCGTCGAGTGGCGGTCCCTGCAGAGGCAGCAGCAAGTCGCACCTGCTCACCAACGAGCAGTGCTCAGGCCGTGGAGGACGAGTCAGCGGCACCAGCAGGTGCCGCACCGGTTCGAGAGCAGCACCAGGTTTGCGAACCGGTCGGTCGAGGGCCGACCTCCCGCCTCGACCTCCTCCTCGCACCGCAGCCGCTCCGCGTCGACAAAGTCGCGCAGCGCGTCCGCCGTCGCGGCGGAGAGGGCGCCGTCGATCCGGACGACGCCAGAGCTCTGCAGCTCCTTGGCGAGCACCGAGCCGCGCTGCGCCAGCTCCGCCTTACTGGCGCTCTGCCGCGGCCTCTTTGCGCCCTTCTTCTTGGACGCCGCCTTGCCCGCCGGAGCCGCGCCGCTTCCAAAGCCGGCGCCGCTGCTTTGCCGTCCGCCCTTTTGCTTCTTTGCGACGAGTGCGGTTCCCGGCTGCAGCAGCGCACGCTCGCGCTCGGCGCGGCGGGCGACGGCCTCGTCCTGCTCGCGTCGGAGGAGCGCCTTTGTCGCCGCGTCCACCATCATGCAGGGCAGCGCGGCGCGGCGCAGAAGCAGTTGAGGCAGATTTGTCGTATCAGCCGACAGAGGGCTGGGCAGCGGCAGGAGGCCAGAGACCGCGACGAGCATCGGAGGTTACTGTGCGTGAAGAAATCGGTCAAACGCGCTGATCCGAGTTTGTAAAATGAACTCGGGGGCACGGGACGCGGCACAAACGGGGCACGAACGCCAGCGCTGATCCGAGTTGTGTTTTTTCCACCACGCTTTTTTCTTTCCTCCACGAGCCGCCGACCCCCTTTTGTAGCCCGATCGGCTTTTTCTGTTTCTCTCCAAAATGCCGCTCGCCCTCCTTTCGCTAGCGGCGGCGGCGCCGCCTCCTCCCGCGTCACCACCGCTGCCTCCTTCCGCGCCACTTCAAAACTGCACCATCGTGTCTTCCGACGACGGTGATGCGGTCGCGGCGACCGACGGGGAGGGCACCCTTGTTCAGATCATCGACGAGGCAGGCACCTTCCTCGTGGAATCCGAGGCCAGTCTGCGCTTGGCGCTGCAGTGCGGGATGCAGTCTGGTCACGCCAACATCAGAATCCCAGCGCACACCACGATCAACCTTACCAGCCCGCTCGTAGTCGGGTCCCTTGCGGCGGAGGCGAGCCTCAGTTTGGAGCTGCCCGTGATTAACATAGCGGGCGGCGACGGGGCGGCTACCGACGCACAGGGCCTCTCAGGCGTGCTCGCGGCGGCCCGTGTGTCACTCTTCGTGCGCGGACTGCGGATCGCCAACGGCAACCAGGGCTGCGTAAGACTGTATCGCACCCTCGCTCGCTTCGAAGATGTGTCCGTCGAGGACTGCTCGTCGCCGCACAGTGGCGGCGGCTTCTTCATCGAACATTCCGACGTGGCCTTCGAGCGCGTGCACATCCGCCATTGCGTTGCGGCGCTGGACGGCGGCGGTGTATTTCTCACCGGAAGAGACTCCCTGGACACCAGTCCCTTTGGCAGCTCCCTGGTTGCTCTCCACTCCTCCATCGCCCACTGCTCCGCTGGCAGCTTCGAAGAATCAGCTGTATACGTTGGAGGGGGTCTGGCAGCGCAGTATTCGGCGCTTTTCATGGCCCATACGAACATCACCGATTGCCGTGTCCATTCGCGTACGGACTCGTACGGCGGGGGGGCCTATCTCACCTCGACGTACAGCCGCTTCAAGTCAGTCAAGATTGCCCGCTGCTCAGCCCGGAGCCGCGACAACATTGTGTTGGGAGGAGGCCTCTTGGTCCAATCCCTTGCGGGCGACCGCATGAGCCTTTTGCGAGCGAACGTGAGTCGTCATAGCTACTGGCTGGAAGTCCCCCCATTCACGGACGAGCTGCGCGACGACCTGAGCGGCATTTCTTGGCGCGAGCTCGCCAACGACAGCGACGTTGGCAGCTGGCGTGCCGAGGAGGAGCCGTGGCTTCTCGACGCGTACGACTTGGAGGTGGTCGATTGCGCTGCGGAAGGGCTCCTCGCGTACGGCGGCTGCATAAGTGTGTGGCACCTGTTGTGTGTATAGCTCTGTCCGCACCGTGCCACCCTCCCCCGCCCCCCTGACAGATTACGTTGACGGCTCGGACGCGAGCGAGCACGGAGATGTCTCTGAGAGTGGCGAGCCGACCGACGTGCCGTTCAAGGCCATCCGACTCGCCGCGCTCTCGCTCATCGGTTGCAAGGCAAGTGGGGCTGCTGTGGCCGGGGGCGGCGGAATCAGCATCTACTCTCGCGGACTCGTACAGATCTACAACGCCCACGTCGCAAATACGACTGCGGAGATCCTACCGGCTCAAGATGTACCGGCTCAAGATATCGGGGTGAATTTCCACGGGCTGGCCTTGGGCGGCGGCTTCTTTGTGCAACAAGCCTTCACAAGCATCCTGAACTCGGCCTTCGACACCTGTGAGGCCATCTCCACATCCCCCGCCCGGGATCAGACCGTGGCGGGAGGGGGGATCGCCGCCTATGAGGCGACCACGCGGCTCAAGAACGTCAACGTCACGTCTTGCGCGGCAAGGCTTGAGGTTACCCCGGGAGCTCTCGGAAGTTTATACGCAGGTGCCGGCGCCGTCAGTGGCGGAGTCCACATGGCGAGCGGCCTCGGACTCTTTGAGAATGGGGCGAGCAGTGCCCAGATCCCCCCCCCCCCCCCCAACCCCACCCCACCCCACGCACACGCACGCACGCACGCACGCACACACGCACGCACGCGCGCACGCACGCACACACACACACACACACACACACACACACACACACACACCACCACCACCACCACCACCACCACCATCACCCCCGCCATGAATATTCACGAAGCTTTCGCCATTCCGCCGACCCCTTTAGACAACTCGAGCACCTCGCCGCTCCGCTGCACAGGTGCTGCTCTCCAAGTCGAAAGTGATCGGTCCGCGTTCTGGTCCTAGCGGCGTGGTCGCATCACCACTGTCACTACGATACAACCAGCTTGGCGTGTACGGCGTCGTCGGGACCCTCATCTGGGTCCTTCCCACCCTCAGAGGCCGCTGGCTACCGGTTTGCTCCACACCCCCCCTGCCCCCCCGCTCCCTCGTCCTTCTTCCCCGATCTAAGAGGACCACTCCCTCCCCTATCAGTCGGTCTACCTGTGCGAAGAGTTCCGCAAGCCGTGTCCGCCGGAGAAGCAAGGGACGACTTGCAATTATACGACGCAGCCGATCCTATCTGACCCCGGCTGCCCTCGCGACTCGAAATATGGGCCTGTGCCGCCACTGCGCTTCTGACCCTTCCACACCTGCCTCTTTAGCTGGCGACCGCTGATTCATAGGCTGTCGATGGACGGCAAGTACGTATCGCTTGGCGTGTCGGGTGCATACAACGCAGAAACCCTGCCTTACCTGTGCAACCCTGGCTATTACGGCAACTCGGCCAACCCCCTGGAGCAGAACACGGGCACATGCACCGGGCTCTGCCCTGCGGGCAACTACTGTCCCACTCCGGGCACCGTCGACCCGATCATCTGCCCATCAGGGTCATGGTGTCCGGAGGGGTCGATCGCAGCTCGAGTTTGCCCCGCTGGCTACTTCTCTAACCAGACAGGCAATCTACCGCCCTCCGCCTCCACCCTCCTCGCCCCGCCCCTGCCCTCGCCGCCGGGGTCCACCCTACCCACGGTCGCGCAGGCAACTCCAATCGCGACCAGTGCGAGCCATGCCCGCCTGGCTTCTACTGCGAGATGAACAGCGCGTACGCCTCGCCGTGTGACGCGGGTCGGTACAGCGGCCGCAACCAGGAGCCGAGCCGGACGTCCTCATGCTTCAGGGCGTGCCCTGAGGGGTACTACTGTCCAACCGGGACAGCACAACCGATCGGGTGCCCGGCCAACACGTACCGGGGCATGGTGGGCGCGCGGAACGAGTCCGACTGCGAGCCTTGCCGTCCGAACATGGAGTCGAAAAACGGCTCGAGTGTCTGTCATTTTGAGGCCTGCCCTGCGGGCTTCTACAGCAGGAACGGCAAGTACAGTGCGACCCCGGGCGCGACGTGCGAGAGGTGCATCGAGCGCCCCCCCCAGCCCTCCCCCCCGCTCACCCGCCTCGCACTCCCTGTTCATGCATCCCGCTCATCTCCACTGCGACCTTAGCACCCCGCTGTTTCGCCACACAGGTGTCAGAAGGGGACGTTCGCCATCGCCAGTCAGAACGGCAGCACGCAGTGCACCGCCTGCCCCGTCTCCGAGTACCAGGACCGGACCGGACAAGACAAGTGCGAGCCGTGCGCCTGGCAGATGTTCGCGCGGCCGGAGGGCGCGGCGGACTGCACCGCGTTCGACGCCGGCACAGTGGCGTGGCCCGTGCTCCTAGATGCCTCACGACACTTCATAACGAGCTCGTCGGGATGATGAATCAACTCATGAATCAACCTCTCGAACTGATCTCTAGGCTCGTGGTCGTTGGGATGATACCGCTGTGGGCGACCATCGGGGCGGTCTGGCGGTTCGGGCGGAAGCGCTACCAGCTGGCGAGGCACGGGCGTTCGGTCGCGGGACAGGCACACACGCGAACAGAATGTAGGAGATCGAGACACCCTCCGCACCTCAACCCTCTCCCCCCTCCCGCGCGCGCCCTCTGCCCTTGCCCCGCTCACGCTCTGAGCGTCGCGGGCGCACCGCCCTCCTCTGCCAGGTGCGCGCCGCGCTGCTGTCCGTCGAGTATGACGACTTGATCGAGGCGGACACGATGGCGATACCGGCCGTGGCGGCGGCGGTGCGAAAGCTGCGTCGGCTGATGATCGCCGCGGCGACGTTCGCGGGCTTGCTCGTCATCCCGTGGCGAGCTCACAAGGACCTTCACGCAGGACGTGTGACCAGCGTCTCTTCACACGTGCAGCTGTGAACAGGCTCCCTGGCTTGTTCGAGCTCAAGGAGTTCTGGCCGTACGCCCGAGCGCGGACAGACGCGACGAGCCCGGAGCGGCTGCAGCCGCTCTTCTCCTCTTCCCTTCGCACGGCGGTCTCCAACCTGCGGCGCACGCGGCGCTACCAGATCCTGTTCGTCGTGTGGGCGTGTATGCCGATGTGGCAACTGCCCAGTGAGGTGATCGCGTGTGCAAGAGGGAGGAAGGGAGCGAGCGGGGGCCATCTGCTCACCCACGCGCACCGGGCCTTGCACTCTGAATGCCGGCTTTGCCTTTGGACGTGGAGATTTCGGAGATGGTTGGGCGTGGAGATTTTGGAGATGGTTGTTACCTTACCTTGCCGCACCTTTAGGTGAGTGCGCCCATGCTCTCGTGCGAGGCCGCGCTCCTGTACAACGTCCTCGCGGCGCTGGGCCGCTACGGCGAGGGCAGGTTCGGGAACGGGTTTCTGTACGACGGCTCTGATCCGCCCGTGCTGCAGTACAACGCCGCCGCCCTGATCGCCCTCTGGCTGAACGTGGGCCAGTGCGTCATCACCGCGCTCATGCAGCTGATGCTGCGGCTGTCCATCCACGCCATCGACCCGTCGGCCAGCCTCCCGGCGTTCAGGCACAAGGCCGCTCGCAAGCTTCGCGTGATGGCGTCCGTCATCTCTGCCGGCGACGGGGTCTACTCAGAGCCTGTCGCTGCAGAGACCTCCTCTCGGAGGCGCGCTGCCGACAAGGTCTCCCGGCGAGATTCCCCGAGATTACCCAAGATTCCTCGAGATGTCAGGCGCCCTGCCGACAACCTTCTGCCGGTGGCGATCGTCTTTGTCCTCGCCTGCTGCGAGGCGCTGCTTCTGGCGGTGCCAGTCGTGTATAGCGAGGCCTTCTACAGCAGCCAGCCTGACCACGTCGACCTCTTCCCGCGTCCGGGACGATCTTTGGTGAGAGCCCGTCGTGGTAGACTCGCGACGACGTCTCATCCGTAGGTCAACTTCTCGCCCGTCTGGGACGACGTGAGCGACGCCGGCGCCATGCCCCTCCTCCAAGCCATGATCGCGCTGCAGCTGAGTACCATGCTAGCGACCGTCAGCGTGATGGTCTTCCTCTGCTACCGCTGGAGAGAAGGCGTGCTCTCGCCCTCACCGAGACTGGCCGAGATCAACCGAGATCAACCGAGATCGCCCGAGATTGCAGGCGAGCGCGGCCTGCTCGGCCTCGTCGAGGCGAACGACGGCCTGGACGAGCTCTCCTCCTCCAAGTTCGCGGGATCCGCGAGGCGCTCGTCAAATGGCGGGCGACGGACGCGTCCAGGACACGTCCATGACATGCCGCCGGAGGCCCGTCCCTCTAGGTCGCTCGTCTCGGGCGCGCCGACGGACGCGGCGCGCGGGCGTCTTCGAGCGGACTACGGGAGACGTCCCGAGGTGAGCGGGAGGGGGTCGAGGGGAGTAGGCGCGCGGGATCTTCGAGCTCATCGGTCACGAGGAGGGCGCGACGCGCGCGGCGATGGCGCGCGGCACGGCGGCCATCGTCGACGAGGTGGAGACGCACGGGTCGGAGACAGACCTCGAGTGCCTGACCTACGTGCTCGACTGCGTCGCCGGCTCCTCGGACGTCACGTTCCAGCACGGCTGGTCGCGCGACGCCGCGCCATCGCACAACGGGAAGCGGCTCGCCGACTTTGTGGCCCACCCGCGCTCCCGCGGGGCAGGCTTGCTCGAGGCGCACGTCGTTGCTCAACGGCTGTACACCACCGCCGCCTTCCGCTCGATCAACACGCCGCTCCGGAGCCTCGCCACGCCACCTCCGGCCAAGGAGGCTGTGATTAGGCGCTGCTGATTGATGAATGAATATGACTCTCTTAGGAACCTCGCCACGCACCCGGTCACCAAGGAGGTGATCCTGCCGCCCAAGATCGTGGAGCCGCACCCGATGCCGTGCACCGTTACCCTCCTCCAGATGCGGACAACACAGACCCCGCGCAGCGTAGACCCGCATAGTACAGATCCGCATAGCACACAGACCGGCGTAGCACAGACCCGCAGATTCCGAGTCGCACTCGGCGGTATGCAGCTGTATTGACTGCGTGGGTGATCAACTCAAGATGTTTTGTCCCCTCACCTCCCCCGTAGGTCGCCTTCCTCTACGACGCGCTCAAGCGGATGCGGGCGGTGGCGGAGCTGGAGGAGGGAGAGAGCCACTGCACCTCCCACAAGGCGGAGGCGGAGGCGGGAAGTGAGGCGCAGGCGGGCCAGTCTGTCGCGCTCACGGTCGAGGCGGAGGCGGACAGCGAGGGCGAGGGCGTGCTGCCCGAGAAGCGCGGCATCGACACGCCCCCGGGCGGCAGCGGCGCTGCCACCGCCGCTCCTGCCGACGACGCGGCTGCGGAGGCGGCTGCTGCGGCCAGCTGCGGCGGAGGGAAAGGGCTGGAGTCTGCGGGCCGAGTCAGGGCTCTCTGCCATCAAATGCGGCAGCTGGTCCCACACACACCCCTGACGGACTGGCTGGGTCGAGCGCTCGCAAAGGGCTTGAGCGACAAGGAGCCGAAGGTGCGGCGTTTGCTCGGCCCAGTCTCGCCGAATCTCGGCTGAATCTCGGCGAATCTCGACGGTTACTAGCGACACCTCGGCTCATCAGACTCGGCATATGCAGGCGCGGCGTGTGCTCTGGCGCGGCATCAAGGGGGTGAAGGCTCCCGAGGAGTTCCTGCGCAAGGGAGGCACCGAGCTCGCGCCGATGTCGTCCACGTGCGACCTGCGCGTCGCCGCGAGGTATGCGAGGGGCGTGCCGGACGCGCTGCTGTTCATGCTGCTCGTCGACAACTTCATGCAGGAGGGGGCAGACCTCACCTTCCTCTCGGCATTCCCGCAGGAGCGTGACCCCCCCCCCCCCCTGTGTGGAGACGCTGACCTTTATAGCTAGCCCGGACCTCACTCACCCTGCGCAGGAGCGAGAGTTCCTCTACCCGCCGCTGACCTTCCTGGCGCCGACGGGGCGGACCCACCACCTCCGACACGACGGCACGCACTTCACCATCGTGGAGGTTGTGCCGCATTACCCGTCGTGAGCAGAGCCAGAGGCAGTCAGCACCCACCTGGCACCCACCTGGTGACCAGTCAGGTTGTCCTTCTGGGCAGGCTGTTCTTCTCGCCTTCAATTCCTATCGCAGCGACCTTCATCTCGCGGTTTTCCCACTCTCGTCGTTCTCTCTCTTCTCTCGCCTGTGTGTGTGTGTTCTCGCTGGCCGTCGTCTTCCGCCGAAAATTCTTTTAGTGCCGGTGATAGTACTAGCACGCGCCAGTTCGCACCTGTGTCGAGCCTGTCTGCTGTGAGAGAGAGTTGTTTTGTTTAAATTCTTTTAGCATCCGGAACGCTCTCGGAAGTCACACCCGTCGGGAGCCTGCTGTTGCGCCCTGGACCAGCCTGTCTAACTACAATCTCTCAGCAGCAAGCACGACTGACACCATGCATCGCCTCCTGCACATTGCCTGCTTCCTCTTCCTCGAGTGCACCAGTGCGCTCCGCGTGCACCACGCCCGCCGTGAAGTGCTCACCGCTGCCTGTGTGGCCTGTGCCCAGCCTGCTCCCGCGCACGCTCAAAGATCGAGCCTCCGCGGGAAGGCGAGTAAAGAGGCCGAGGCCGAGGCGCGTGCCTTCAAGCTGTCACCGATTCCGCAGGAGACCGAGGCTTTCAAGGCCGCAGAGCGACGACGTGCCGACTTTGATGCCGGCGTCGCTCCTCGTGACGCAAACCGCACGCCGGTCCGTGACGCGGTCACCGGAAAAAGCATTTGTGCCGAGAACATTTGTGCAAAGGGTGACAGCGCATGCTTCGCACTGCAGGGATCCTGTGCCAAAGGTTAAAGCTGCGTGCATGATGGCTGCAGAGGATTCCCCGGGAATGGGTTCTTCCGTGCATATCGTTTTTCTCGTTTGGCGCTTCTGCTTGCGCAGTGTAAGAGCATGGCGTCGCGCTTTCGCTCCCAAAACGCGTGGCGGCGCGCACATTAGGCTGATGTCAAACACTGTCTGAGAATCTGTCACCGATGCACACCTGTCATCTCACTAATGCGTGGAGGGACAGGTGAGGCTCTCACGAGCTCACGATGTCCGGTTGAGGGGTTCCCAATCGTCCCCACGCCCCGCTGGACCACGAGGGCGCCATGCTCCCGCCGACCGCGGTCAGGCACGCGGCGACGCGCGGAGGCGCCCAGCTCTCGCAGACCTGCGGTCGCCCCGACGGAGGGAGGACGACCAAGGCGGGGAGGGAGTCGAGCACCGCCGAGGAGCGCGCCCACTCAAAGGGCGCGTCCCCCTCGGCCTGGCCGTGCAGTCGCACCTCGCCAAACAGGAGCGAGTCGGCGTACGCGCTCGAGAGGGCGCTCAGGATCGGGGGCGTCTGCGCGGCGCGTGACCGGTTGAAGAAGGCGACTGCGCGCGGGACCGAGCGCTGCGCGGCGAGGCGCGCAAAGGAGGCCCACGCGTCGTCGTCGTGCAGCTGCCGCGTTCGAGTGGGCATGTACGCGGCGGCAAATCCGGACAGGCTGTCGACGTCGAGGCTGCCGGCGTACGCGACTGCTGTCCAGCGCCGCGCCGACGCGTTCGGCGCGGCTGCCGCGGGCGGCACGAGGGCAAAGACGGCCGGCGTGGCACGCACATCTCCCAGCTCGGGCGGTAGCTCGGGCAGCGAGTCAGCGTCCCAGTAGGCGACGCCTGCAAGCCGCGCGAGGCGCTCCGCCAGCAGCTCCCACGTCGGCGCGAGCCGCTGGCAGAAGCCGCAGCTGGTGCGGCACACGTTGAGGAGCCAGAGCGGCCTCGGCCCGTCCGGCACCTCCGCCTGGAACAGGCGGGCGGCGGCTTGCTCCGTCGCGATGTGCCGGAGCATGTATGTGTGTCACATGAGGGAGAAAAAGAATGTACGCATGTGGGCGTATATGACAGGAGAAAAGACGAGCACTTGTTGTGTGTTGTGTGTTGTGGTGGTGTGCGGTGTGCGGTGTGTGTGTGTGTGTGTTGTGCGTTGTGTGTTGCGTGTTGTGCGGCGGGCGGTGGGCGCAATGCGGGTGGGTGGGGGGGGGGGGGGGCACTCACCCGGGGTTGCAGGGAGGGGGGGGGGGGGGGTCGCGCAGTCTGAAGCGTCTGAAGGAGGGGGAATGTGTGATGTATGGTCTTCTACGGAGGGAGGAGCGGCGGAGCGGGCGGCGGGGGACGATCGATCGGGCGACGTCCTCGTCGTGTGCGGTAACGCACGCGCTCCAAGTGCTCCAAGTGCGCTCAGCGCAGCTGGGAAGAGAGAGACACTGGAGCGGGAACGGGGCACAAACCTCCTCTCCTTGCAACAACAACAACAACACTTGCGAGAAGCACATGAAGTTACTGGTCCTCCCACGGGAACGTGTCCCGCAGATCCGCAGATACTGAACAAACACCTCTCGAGTAACTTCCTCACCCCAGTAGGCATCGCTATCCTCCAACGGATCCTCGCGCTGGAAGACGCACTGCAGCAGCCCTTCCCGGACGGACAGGTATGAGCGAGGGGCGGCGTTCGGTGCCATAGTCCCCGAAGCAAAAAAGAATCTTACAACCCAGTGTTGTGCAAAAAAGAAAGCCGGATGCCGCCTGCCTTGTTTTGTTATTTTCTTTCTCGGTCCCCTCTATGTAAGAGAGAGAGATTTTTAGCAATCCATGATGTGTTGTCATGTAATCCCCTACTCCCCCTCCCCCCCGAGGAGGACACCCCACGGCACCCGCTCTCTCTGTGTCGTGGCACGGTGGGAGATCGCTTGTCATCTCATGCATGCGTTGCCTTCTTGTTTTCTGATCCGCTTTCTCAATATGCCGGGTGTATCGTCTATTCTTTACTTTTTTATACCTCGGACTCGTAAGGCATATGCGGCGGTCAATATATTTTATTAAAACGTATGGCAGTGCCAGTGGAGTCGGTGGACGGTGGTACTATGTACAACTGTACTCTATGTCACGCGTTACTCTACGAGGTCTCTCTGACTCAAGAGTGTGAAGTAGACACGAGATCACACCGTCAGCCGACGGCTCGCTGGAAGAGGACGCGCCACACGCGCGCGTCGGAGACCAGCTTCGGGTCCCCCACCTCGGCCACGGAGTCGTCGACGAAGACGGCGCACGGCGCGTCGGCCTCCGGCGCCCCTCCGAGGGCGGCGAGAGTGGAGGCGACGTACTCGGCCTTGGAGCGGCCCTTCGACGTGACGCAGAGGCCGGCGAGCCGCACGCCCCGCTCCGCGAGGAAGGCGCGGATCTCGCCCTCGTGCGAGTTTCTCGTGACGACGTGGGTCGGGTAGAGCGCCGTCGCGGAGAGCAGCTCGGGGTCGAGCGTGTGCGGCCCGCCGGCGTACGGCGACCCGCCCGACTTTGTCGAGCAGAGCGTGCGATCAAAGTCGAGAAACACGGCCGCGGGCCGCAGCCGCGCGCACAAGTCCACCACCACGTCGCCGTCGCCCTGCGAGAGTCGGCAGTCGGCGCACGAGCGGAAGGAGGCGTCGCAGGCGGCGCACCGCAGTTGGTGCGGGCAGAACGCGTGCCGCGCGGCGCGGGGCTTGCGCCGCGGCTTGAGCTGCGCCTCTGCGTGCGGCTGCGGCGCGTCGTCGAGCGGACAGCGCCCCACCTGCCGCGCGCCCTCCTCGCACCGCCAGCAGAGCAGCTGCGGCCGGCCGCCGGGGAGGAGGATCGCCCACGGCACCGCCACAGCGCAGCCGCAGTCGCGGCAAGGCATCGCGCCCCGCAGCCGCTGGCTCCGCCCCGCGCCGCCCGCGCGCGACCCGCCCTTCCCCTCTCCCTTCCCCTCGCCGCGCTTCCCGTCGCGCTTGCCATCGCCCTTGCCGTCGCCCTTGCCGTCGGGCGGCGGAGGGAGCTCGACGCGAGTGCGACGAGCGGCCTACGACCAAGTTGCCAACCTAGCTCCGAGAAGACGGTCCAGGGAGGGGTCGTCTCACGTGCGGCGAGGTGCCGGCGGAGGAGGCCACCCCTCGGCGGCGATGGCGGCGCGCATCGACGCCTCGTGCCTCTCCTTCAGCTTGTTTAGCGTGGCGAGGAGGCCGGCCTGGCAGAGGGCTCCGACAAGGCTCGGGGGAGAGGGGGTGCTGGAGAGGGGGCGGGGAGAGGTACGCCCGCCAGCCGCGTGAAAGTCGCAGGCACAAAGAGCGACCGGACGCCTCGAGGCGCGTCACTGGCGACGAACATCCTGCCCTGCGGCGCCGCGCGCGGCCGGCGGCAGATGTCGACGATGTCTCGCAAGGCGGCGCGCAGCGATGCGTACGTCTCGCCTGCCCCCGCGCGAGGCACCCGCGGGCTGGGGCTCGAGGGAGGGGGGGGCGCCGGGAGGCGGAGGGGCGGCTGGGTGGGGAGGGGCGGGCGGGGAGGGAGGGGCGGCGCGGGAGGGGGAGGGCGCGAGGCGCGAGGGGCCCGCGCCGAGTGCCTCGAGCGCCACCGTGTGCTTGACCCACGACACGGCTGCCTGCAGGAAGGGTCCGAGAAGGGTCCGAGAAGGGTCCGTGAAGGTTCAGGCGTGTTTGGCGCTCAAGACGGCTGCCTGCAGCGCCAAGCTCGCTCGCTCCGCCTCCGCCTCCGCCTCCCCGCCGCCCACGGGCGCGACTGCGGGGAAGGGGCACTCGTGCCGCCGCAGCGCCGCCCGCACCGCCCCAATCCGCCGCTCGAGCGACTCGATCGCCCAAAGCAGAGCCGTCGCCGCGTCGGCGATCGCCAGCGCCTTGCAGCCGCCGCGCGCGACGAGGCTCGCCTGAGCGGCCGAGACCAGCCGAGCTCAGCCGAGCTCGGCCGAGCTCAGCCGAGCTCAGCCGACGAATCGCAGCCGGCTGTGTTGACGGGTGTTTGGAGGCGTGCGGTGGTGTGCGGGGCGTGCGAAGCCTCGACGAAACGGAGCTCGTGCGGTGCGCAGCGACTTGAGCCGCCGACCGACTTCAGCTGCGCCACCACGCGGCGCAGCCCCGAGCTCAGCACCTCGGGACCGAGGAGGCCGCCTGCAGGAGGGCTCCGACAAGGCTGCGACAAGGGCCCGGTAAGGCTGACCACGCCCGAGCTCGCACGCCGGCGTCGAGGAGGCCGTGAGGCGCGAGGGCAGAGCTTGGCGCCGCCTCCGCCTCCGCCGCTGCCACCGCCTCCGCCTCCGCCACCGCCTCCGCCTCCGCCTCCGCCGCCGCCGCCGCCTCCGCCACCACCTCCTCCTCCTTCTCCTTCTCCTTCTCCGCCGCCTCCGCCTCCGCCGCCTGCGCACTCTCCCGCCCCGCCGCCAGGGCGTCTAGGCGGCCGATAAAGGCCTCCGCCTTGTCGACGGTGGCTTGGCCCGCGAGAGAGAGGCCGCGCAGACGCGGCGGCAGTGTCGCGGTGGCGGGGTGGCGCGGCAGGGCGCAGATCGCCTTTGAGAGGTCTCGTACGTCGTGCAGCGCCACCCGCACCGCCCTCGCCCTCTCCAGCGCCGTCGCCGCCGAGGAGTACTCGGGCCAGTGCGGGGCGAGGTGGAAGGCGGTGCGAGACGGGTGGTCGCGGAAGAAGAACATCGCCTGGCGGTGGAGGGAGAGCTCGAGCCGCTGCGCGTCCTGGAAGAGGCAGAGGCACGCCTTTTTGTAGCTGATGAGCTCGCGCCGCAGCTCGAACGCCGACCGCAGGCCGCACAGACCGTGGAGTGCCTCGACCAATGCCTCCGCGGTCTTCGCTCCAAGCGCAGCCCGCAGGTCGTCCTCGATGAGCTCGAGTGAGCCGGACGGATAGCTCTTGGCAGTGGCTGGCGAGGCGTCCAGGACACACGGCGAGCGAAAGGCGGATGCGCGACGACGGATGCGCGCCTCAAAGGCGTGCGCCACCCGCAGCCGCCACAGCCGCCTCCACACGACCCAGGCCGCCGCCAGCGAGGCGGTGGCCACGACAAAGATGACTTTGGAGCTGCTGCGCAGCGTCATACACACAGTGGCGAGCGGTGGTGTGCGCGGCGCGGCAGAAGTTTGTGCGCTTTTTTTGGCGCGTACCAAAACAACGCAGCTGGCCTCTGGGTCGCCTCCGTCCTCCCATCCCTCCCTTGGGTTTGTTTTCTTTCTTTCCTTTCTGTACACACTACTTAAAATCCCCGAGTTCATTTTATTATTAAAACCAATCAATGAATAATAAAATCCCTGTGTGGTGGCGGCGTGCCGCCACACACACACACACACACACACATGCATGCACAGACACACAGCCCCTTCCCCTTCCCCCTCGACACACACAGGACGCACCTCTAGCGAGGCCCGCAGAGTATGTGGGAGACTCCTGCCGCCGCCCCTGCCACCCCTGTGTCAGTGTGCCTGTGGTTGCGAGAGACTGCCCGAGTGAGAAGCTGGAGGAAGGTCGCTAGACTGAGATGAGACCGCCAGTGGAGTTGGGAGTCCACCGTGCACCGCGCTGCGAGCCTGTCGTGTCCCTTGTCAGGAGCAGGAGAGCCCCACCTGTGCCCCTGGTCGTCCTTCCAAAATCCTGCTCGTGCAGGTGGGGACCCTGTCCTCCTCCCGCATCCCTCGTTTGGGTTTGTCTGTCTTCTTTCTTTTCTCTGCGCCGGGGAGGCGTTGTTGGAGGCTAGGACGCAAGCGTCCGAGAGAGAGAGATTTTTAGCAATACCAAACAACTCTAGCGTCCGTCGCCTGTATTACATTCGAGGGCTCGTGGTGAGTGTGGGGTGTGCCTCACGAGGCGGAGAGGCCGCGTGAACTCCCGTAGAAGCTCGCGAAGTGCGGATTTGGAGCGCCGCGCCGGACCTCCGCCGGGGCCCGCCGGGGCCACGGGAGAGGTCAGAAATCGTTTTGGGGGGTAGACTACTACAAACCGGTCACGGTCCCGTCCAGTTTAGTCCCTTGGCCGGCCCTGGGCCGCTCGGCACCGCGCGGGGGTGCCGTTAAGCGACCCTACGGATTTTCAGTGGTCGATTTTGGCCAAAAAGCCCAATGTGCCCCGCCCGCGCCGCCCCGGGGCACGGCAGAGTGCCTACTCTCGCCTCTCTGAGTCGGGGCGCCGGCCCTGTATCGTCCCAATAGACGCTACGCCACTCAGAGATCGTATTCAGAGAGTGAACTCCCCCCCAAAACTCACAATTTTATCACTAAGGTTCTCAGACGAGGCGAGTTGAAAGCGACCAGGGCATCAGGGCCGGTGCCGGAGCTAGCCCAAACCACGAGATCTACCTCCGTCTCCGCTCCGCGCCTCGAGCGGCCGGCTCCGCAGCTCACCAGCCGCGAGGGGCGACTCCTCCTCGCGCGGCGGCGGCGCTGCGTGCGGATCCTCGCACCACGACGAGTGCGACCGAGTGGCGGCCGGCCACGGCGTGCAACCATTCTCGCAGATGGGCAAGTCGGCCGTCACCAGCTGGCAGCACACGCGCCGCCGCTCCGCCTCTGCGGACGCGTCCCGCTGGCCGTCCGCCTCGAGGCGCGCGATGGCGGCGTGCAGCGCCTCGCCGCTCCGGTGCGCCGCCTCGACCGTCTCGTTGAGCTGCTGGTCTACGAGCGAGTTCCGGGAGGGGTCAGCGGGGTGGTGCAGGGACGCCTTGAGGGGATCGTCGAGCTGCTGGCCGCGCTGGTGCGCCCGCCCCCACTGGCTCCGCATGTGCACCGAGAAGATGCCGAGCGCGCCTACGGTGAGGCCGCGCGGAGGCGTCCGAGAGGCGTCCGGGAGGGCGCCTGTTTGGATGCCGAGAGCGCGCGCCCAGCTCCCTCGCGCATCGCACCGCGCACGCGGCGGGCGAGGCCTCCTCCCCGCCAGGGACCTCCCCGCCAGGGACCTCCCCGCCGAGGCCCGCCAGGCTGCCGGCCGCGCGGTGCGAGGCCCTCTGGCGGCCCCTGCCGAGCCCCTCGCCCCTGCCGGCGCCCTCGCACCGCGCGACGCAGCGGGGCAGGGCGGAGACGAGCACCTCGAGCGCACGCGCCGCGCTCTGCCCCCACGAGAAGGCGGGCACGCCGATCGGCCCCACCCCCGAGCTGCCGTACCTACGGGTCGGAGGAGGGTCGGAGGAGGGTCGGAGGAGGGTCGGAGGCGGGTCCGAGGAGGGCCCCGCCCGACCAGCGGGCGGCTCGGCGCACATGCAGCGCGAGGTCTGGAGGTCGGCGATGCCGACCGCGCAGCCGTGGCACGCCTCGAGGTCGGACGCCGGCAGACCGTGCACCTGCGGGACATGTACATGACATGTGTTGTGCATGTGCATGTGCATGTCTCGACACGTCTCGGACGTGTCCCGGCCCAGGGTCGAGGTTCGGAGGGCGGCGGCGGGGCGGGCGGCGCACCAGCGCGCGCGAAAAGACGCAGCCGAGTCCGCCGCAGTTGGAGGTGACGTCGCGGACGTAGGCGGACATGTTGCGGCCGCGCAGGTCGACGCGGCGACCCCGCCCGTCCAGCTTTGCGAAGGCGGGCCCAAACATCGGCTGCAGCAGCTGCGCCGCCCGGCCACCGCGCAGGTGCGGCGCCACGTGTCGCTCGGCCGCGCGCTGGTAGCGGGAGTCCACGCACGCGACCGGCGGGTAGGACGCCTCGCAGCCGTGCGCCGAGAACCAGAGCGGCATCTGCGGGTCGAAGATGCCCAGGAAGGAGGCGAGGCTGCGAGGGACGAAGAAGGTGTCGTCCTCGGTAAAGAGCATCCACGAGTAGTCGGGGAAGGTGCGGTTGCCGAGCACGATCGCCGTCGAGTACAGGTCCGAGTTTCGGCAGCCCGCCACGCCCGACAGCACCGCGATCCGCATCCGGCTGCTGTTGACCAGGCCGAGCGCCGGGTCGGGCGGCCGGTCGCACACGATGAAGGCGCGGACCGCGCGGAGCCAGGTGCGGGCGTGCGCGGCAAGCGCGGCGCCGCGGCCGGCCGAGGCCATCATCACCACCAGCAGCGCGTCAAGCGGCGCCGGCGCCCGGGCGCGGGCCACGCACTGCGAGAGGGCCGACGCGGCGGGAGGCGCCGCTCGGCGGAGCGCCTCCTCGGCGAGGCGCGGCGCGATGCGGGCTCCCTCTCTCGGGACGCCGGGCCCCAGGATGCTGTTTGGCGGCGGAATGGCGGCCGTGCTCATGCCTGCTTGGGGCGCGGCGGCCCGGCGGCGATGCGATGGATGTGTCTGCACACTGAACGTAGGAAGGTGTGGCCAGCTCGTGGGAAGGCAGCCCCCGTGGGAACGCCACCCCCACTACCTCCGTTTCGGCCTGCCTGGCTGCGGCGGCCGTCACTCCCCGACAAATCGCCTGCGCTCCCTGTTTCACAGCCATCCGTGCTCTACCCAAGCCGGATTTTTATATAGCAGCTCCTCTCTACCCCGAGCTGTCTTTCTCGCCCGAGGCTCGCCGTGGCCCCACACGGCAGCCTCTGCTCGCGTTTTCGAGCCAGGACCTTCGTCCGGGCCCATGGCCGGCACGCCATCGTCGATTCCGCGCGCTCGGCTCCACCGGCTTGCTGTGCGGACGGCTTCTTGTCGCTCTCGTCGAGAGCGTTTTGGCGGCCCGGCGGGTGGGAGAATATGTGTCGCCTGATGTGTCACTGTGTACGTCACATCGGTCTTGATAACAAGCACGGTCGATCCGTCGAAGCGATATACTCGTCACGTCACGCTGGACGGCTTGCACGGAGCTCTGTGCCGGCACACACAGGAAGAGCCGTCCGGCAAGAAGAGCTCGATAGGGAGCGAGAACCGTCAAAGGTGCTCACCCAGGTTTCGGACGTCCGTCATGGTGCGGTCAGTTCCCCCCAGGTTTGACCGCGCAGGTCTCAAAACTCGTCGAGCACTCGTAGCCTTTCTGCGACTCTCTGCGTGCTGCCGGCTCGGGAAGAGCAGATTTTGCAAGATATCTCAACGAGATCCGACATCTGCGCGGTCATTTTTGGAGTGATCTTACCGCGTCATGACGGAGTCTTGATACCTCTCGGAGCACCTCTAACGGTTCTCGCTCCCTATCGAGCTCTTCTTGCCGTACGGCTCTTCCTGTGTGTGCCGGCACAGAGTTCCGTGCAAGCCGTCCAGCGTGACGTGACGAGTATATCGCTTCGACGGATCGACCGTGCTTGTTATCAAGACCGATGTGACGTACACAGTGACACATCAGACGACACAGATTCTCCCACCCGCCGGGCCGCCAAAACGCTCTCGACGAGAGCGACATGAAGCCGTCCGCACAGCTACTCGGACATTACCGATCATGACGAGCGGCGAAGGAGTGCTCCGCTGGGTCACGCCACGGGGGCCCGCCGCCTCAGATGCGACTTTTGGATGCGGTAGGGCTTGCGCGAGCGCCTGTTCAGTCTACGCTAGACCGAACTGGGCGCGGGCCCTGCTATATAAAATTGAGCTTGGGTAGTAAGGATGGCTGCAATTACAGGATCCTAGCCACTCCGCCCTCCCAGCACGCGCCATTTTGGCTGCCTTCCAGCCAGTGCAGCCATCCTCCGGCCGATGGCTGCGATGGCTGTGTCCCAGCCATCCGCCCGGCCGCAAGATGGCTGTCATACAGCCGTCGCAGCCATCGGCCGGAGGATGGCTAAGCTTACTAGATCCTGACCAAGCGTTCCAACGCGATGGCTGAGAGATAACGACGCCAGCCATCCAGAACAAGGTGTGGTGGCTCGCGGAGCGAGAGTGGAGCCACCTGGGCTCGTGTCGGGGCGGCGAGAAGGCTGGGTCGAATTCGCGACAGCCATCCTCCGGCCAAATGGCTGCGACGGCTGTATGACAGCCATCATGCGGCCGGGCGGATGGCCGCGGCGGCGGTGGGCGTCATGTGGCGGGCGTCATGTGTCCAGACATTGTCCGAATTTCGGCGGATCTTGGGGGTGTGGTCAACTAAAAAAATACCTTTGTGCTTGGGAGGGTCGGCGTGCACTCACTCACTAGGCGGATGTGCACACTAGGGTGATAAGAAACAAGAATTTCACAAGCAAACTCCCTCGCACAACACTGACTGGAAACAAGAACGTGCGACGACAGTGAGGGTGTGAGAGACAGACTACCCAGGGTGGCAGGGAAGGTCTTTCACTACCTTACAGCCCCTGCCTGAGCTCCCTCCACCCTTTACGTACGGATCATGTAGTCCCCACCGCAATCGCTGTCGTAAGAAAAGAGGGCAGCGATTTCTTCTTTCAAGTTTTTGCTTTGCGCGCTGTCTCACAGCACACCGACACGACAAGCAAGGGCGTGGACTGGCGCACACTAGCACCAACCGGCACACAGAAAGATCGACGGCGCAGGCTCACCACGCCACTGCGCGGCCGATTTCTTCTCTCAAGTTTTTGCTTTGGCCTGTTCACAACCCGCACAAACGCAGCAGGCAGTAGTGCTAGCCTGCACCACACACCCCACCGCTCTCTCCAGCCAGACCCCTCCACACTCTCGCTCGCCGCGTCCGTGGCCACGGCGCGCTCCGGGGAGTCGCACCTCCGGCCGCAGTCTGGGCGGCCGCGGCCGCGCGCTGCGCGCTGCGCGTGCAGACCTCTCTCATCACCGGCTTGCTTTCCTCGCAGGCCTGCGCGCGCGGGCGAGGGTTGTGCGAGGATGGCAGACTTCTCCGGGGGCTCGATGAGCAGCGGCGGCGGCTCGATGGCGGGGATGGGCGCCGACCTCGGCACGCTCGACGAGCCCGTCACCGAAACCATCATGCGGGACCTGCGGATGGTGGGCAACAAGATGCTGTGCGTGCTCAACCCGCGCAAGGCCAACATGCAGACGCTCAAGAACTGGGACCTCTGGGGCCCGCTCGTGCTGTGCCTCACGCTCGCGACGTTGCTCTCCTGGTTTGCTCCGTACGAGCAGAAATCGCTCGTGTTTGCGTCCGTCTTTGTGATTGTGTGCTGCGGCGCGACGGTGGTGACGGTCAACGCGCTGCTGCTCGGCGGCAACATCTCCTTCTTCCAGTCCGTCTGCGTGCTCGGCTACTGCATCTTCCCGCTCAACATCGCCTCCGTCATCTGCCTCATCGGAGGGCCGCTGATATGGCGGCTCGCCGTGGTCGCCGTGTGCTTCTTCTGGTCCACCTCCGCCTCGCTCGGCTTTATGGGCGAGCTCGTGCCGACCAACCGGCGCGCGCTCGCCGTGTACCCTCTCTTCCTCTTCTACACGAGCATCGGCTGGCTCATCCTCATAGCGGCGCGCACGTCGCCGTACAGCTGAGCGCAGGGCCGCGGCCGAGACGGGCCGAACGCTGCGTCGGGCGCCGAGGGCGCACCATGTCTAGTCGATCGCGTTGCTGTGTTCAGACATCAGGAGAGCTAAGTGGTTATGTTAGAACAGCCGGCGTGGCCGCGCCGCGGGGCCTCGCCAGACGCCACAGGCGCATATGGCATTTAGAGCCGTATGATTTAACCAATAGAGTATATTATCCGGCGGCTCCGGCTCAGGTCGTGGGGCATAGCTCGGGTGTAAACGGGGTCTGGGGAGGAAGCCCCAGCGGCCCGCCGCAGGCGCCGCCGGAGGCTGGCCCGCCGCAGGCGCCGATTTTTTGGCGTTTTTTCTCAAAATTGAGGGATTTCTCATCTAAATTCTCATCCAAAATCGAGCTCGCTACGAGCTCTCTAACTGCACAGCATCTCCTTGTTGAGCCTAGCGGCGCCCGTATCGCCCACGCCCATATTCCTTTTTCTTGCCCTTGGCCCTTGCTGCACTCAGCCGCTCAACCTCCGCCAGTCTCTCCTTGCTCGTTGCTGGCGCTGCCGCCCCCAGTACTGCGATTGCAGCTCCTTGGCATGCCGCGCCGCCTCCATCTGCTGTGCTTCCCACGCTGCCGCTTCCTCTAAAGCAGCGCCGCCACTAAGCGGCGCAACCAAGTTCTCGCACTGTTTGCATGAGCATGTGTCCTGCTGGTGCGGCGCACAATCCGCGCGCGGCGAGTGAGAGTAGAAGACTGACAGCAGGAGCTGCAGGAGCTGCAGGAGCTGCGCAGATCGGATGGGTGGTGACGCCGTCGAGCGACGGCGCAAAGACCAATCACCACCGCTGAGAGCCGCGACACGAGGCTGCTGGCAGCTGCACCTGTGAGAGCCGCGACACGAGGCTGCTGGCAGCTGGCAGAGCGAATCGCGATTCCGGCGGCCGCCGTCAGCCCGCCGACACCGACGGCCTGTCTGAGGTCAAACTCCCACCGCACGTCGGACCAGTCGTGCGTCAGCCATGGCGACGAGACGTCTGTATGCAGACAGCCCGCCACCCGGGCGATAGAACATGCCAGCTGGGCTCTTCCAGGGCTCTCGTGGCCCGTGCGTGTGCCCAGTGGAATAGGGCGGGCTGCGGCGGGCGCAATAACTATTCACAATGAAAACTATAAAAACTCGCGGCTTCATCAAAGTTTGAGGTGGCTTCGTCCTCAGCACCATCAAGACAGCTCTATTCACACCCTGTTTGGTTTGAAGCCACTCGGGGATGCCCGTTTACACCCAACCGACGAGTCGCTGGGCCCTCTGACCTGAGCCGGAGCCTCCTCGAGCGCGCGGCCAGTAAGGTCGTCTCCGATCTCGCATAATAAAAAGCCGTATCGTGTACCCCAAGAGGGTATCGATATTAAAACATAGTATCGATATATCGTGTTAGTGAGCCGCAAAACGCCGCACAATGGGGTCAAATCTCAAAATGCCGCCCGCATGCGACCGTTGCGACGGCGGGGGAGCTGTCGATGCGCCGCATCGTGCGGGTTGCGGCATGGGCGATGGGACGCACCACAAAAACCGTTAGAGAAAACAGTAACGCTCACCCCTCCTCATCACTGTCGCTGTACGTAACCAGCGCCGCCGGGGCCGGCAGCGCCAGCGGCACGGCCACGGTGGGAGCGGCGGGACGGGCCGCCGGGATGGCGGCGGCGATGGCTGTCGCTGGCCGGGTTGGTGCGTGCCTTTCCGCTGGCCGCGTCGAGATCTCCATCCCCCTCGCTCGGCGCAGCTGGAGCGCGCGGAGCGCCTCCTCCTTCTCTTGCGCCGCGCCGCCGCCCGGCTGCGCGTCGAAGATGGAGCCGTGCAGCAGCCGGACCCGCCTCTCGCCGCAGACGGCGTCGGAGCGGCGCCGCTTGGACGCGCCTATGAGGAGGAGGTTCCGAGCAGGTTCCGAGAAGGCAACGGGATGGCGTCGCTTTGGACGCGCCGAAGCGGATGGCGGCGGCGGCGGCGGCGTCTTCGGGCGCCTCGGGCAGGAGCGGGTGCCGGATCCCCTTTGCAGCCTCCTCCGCCGCCTGCGCGAAGCTCGAGTGCCTTGCCTTGCGGTGCTTCCTGCGCAGCAGCTGCGACGAGCCGTAATCGTCGAGCCAAGCCTGGAGTAGGGATAGGCTGGGGGGAGTGAGGGTGAGGGTGGCACCGCAGCTTCTTGCGCTGCATTCCTCCGCCTCGCGTGCACAAAGGCTACGAGCGCGGGCAGTCGAATAGAGTGGGCTGTGCGTGGCCTGTCGTCCGCATCTAGGGAGCCCGAGCCGAGGCGCGCGCGTCCTCGAGGGCAGAGACCCGCTCGGCGCGCGCTCGCTCTACGGAGCGGCGGGCGGCCGGCGCGTGCTCCAGCCCGTAGAACGGGTCCGCCGCCCTCCTCTCCCTGTCCTTTGGGTCTGCCAGCTCCTCGACGCCGAGCTCCTCGGCCGACGGCACCTGCAGCCACAAAAAGAGTCAGTGAGAGGTGCGACTGTGTCCGTGAGTCCGCATCTACGCGGGAGACCTTCGCGCCGGGCAGCTTGTCGAGGTCGCCGACCCGGACGGCGCCCTCGGCGACGACGTAGTCCGCCGCCTTGGGGTCGGTCCGCACCTCGATGTAGTGCGCGTTCCGCGTGCGGTCCGTGCGCGACGTGCCGTCCTCGGCGGCGCACATCATCCGGAACGACCAGACCTTGGTCGAGAGGTACTTGCCCACGCACTTCTTCTCGGCGTTGAAGCGCACGCCCTTGGCGATGCGATTCCCGCAGCCGGAGCAGCGCACGTCGAAGGGCATCTCGAAGCGCACCACAAGGATGCCCTCGCCCAGCTTCTTCGCACGCTCGCGCAACGGGTGCGCCTTCCAGGCGGGCTCGCCGAGCCGGGCCGCGGCGAGCTCCGCGCGCGAGCCGCGGCGCGGGTCCCAGTCGGGCGGGTGATAGAAGTTGTCCGCGCGTGCCGCCTTGAGGGAGGACATGCCGGCCGGAGGAGCTCAGTAGCCCGAGGCACTTGCGGCGCCTACGTAAATTTTCTTTTTTGAGTCCTTTCCTCAGCCCTCCCGCTCGATGTAGTTGATTTAGGTAATAAATATAAATAAATAAATGGACACCCCAAACTAAAGAAAGAAAGAAAACGGACAACCCAAGGGAGGGATGGGAGGACGGCACGCCGCCCCACACAGGGATTTTAAGGAGAGGGGTGTGGTGCGCTAAAAAAGAAAACAGACAAACGTTTGGCGTTTGTGGTGCGCTAACTTGCAAACACACGGCTCCGATTTCTTCTTTCAGCTGAGCTCCACTGAGGAACACCGAGCCATGGTTGCGCGCTTGCTGGCTGGGCTCTGCCTCTTCGCTGCCTGCGCGCCGTCGGGCGCCTTCACGCCGCCGGGCGCGCTGAGCGCCGTCACGATGCCCGCGACGCACGCCGCCGTCGCCCGGCCCGCCGTGAGTGGGTGCGCGCCGCCGCTGCGCCCGCTGCAGCTCTTGGCCGGGAGAGGGCGCTGGCGCTGAGCACGCCCCCCCTCTCGTCGCAGAGCCGTGCGCACATCATTGCCGACGATTGTGATGGCCGTGCCGAAGAAGCGCCAGTCTAAGATGAAGACGCGGCAGCGGAAGGCCAATGTGCGGCCGCCCCTTGCCCGACCGCGCTCCGCCCGGCGGCCCAACCCAAGTCTGCACGGAGCGCGCGACTGACCCTCGTTGGCCGCCCCCGCCGCCACGCAGTGGTTCGCCAAGGCCAGGCGCCAGGCCACGCTCGCCCTCTCGCGCGGCAAGTCTGCCAAGTATGACCCCCTCGAGGACCCGAAGTACTCGTTTGATGCCGTGGAGGATGACGACGAGGAGGAGGACGAGGACGAGGAGTAGACGGCCGCCGTCCCCTACCGCTCGCTTCCGCCGTGGAGGGCCCGCACTGTGTTCAGCGCGGACGTGGCTAGGTCTGCGTGAATCGCTTAAATAGCTGCACACACGACGCTCACAAGCGCGCTCTGTCGACTCTATTCCTCGTTTTGCCTGTGTTGTACTGTAAACGACCGCGTCACGAGTGCGCCCGTCCCGCGTGTCGTCAAAAAAAGGGTCTTACACACTCACTCTCGACACACACCAGTGCGCGGTGTGTGCAGTGAGATATGCCGCGTCTCACGCCTCACCCGTCACCGCGACGCGTCCTCGTCCAGAGACGGCGGCACACGATGATGTGTGGCGGCTGGTGTGCACCCCGTGTTTACTCGCTTGCTTTTTTTTCGCTCCAGCCCTGCGGGTCTTCACACTCCTCAAGGGCCTTGACCCTTGTAACAAGGGGCTCCGCCCCGGGTTAGCGTTACACGTGTAAGAGCGTTATGGGGTGGTGTGACGTTGGTGTGTGGCTGGTGTCAGCCTGTCGCTGGGTATGGGGGTACGACGGCGCGACGGGCATGGCGACGGGGCGGGAGCGGGAGGTGTGAGTGTCGCATGTGCGGTGCGGGGGTTTCAGCTCCGTGGGCGCGGGTTTCCGCGGGGCGGGAGGCGGGAGCGTGTGCGGGGGTGCGTGGCTGCCGGCCGTGACGTGTGGTGGGCCGCGTTGGCGTGCTGGGGCTGTCTGACTGTGACTCGCGTGTGCGCGTCGCTCTCGCGGTCCTGATGCAACTACATCGGCTGTGTAGATCAGACGTCGTCTCCACGGCGTGCGCCGCGCTGCGGACGCGGGGTTATGGCTTATGCCACACACGCGTCCAGCCGTCCACAGGCGCGCGAGTGCGCCCAGAGACCAGCCGACTGGCCCTCGCGTGTCCTCGATCACTGTCATGAGCTGTAAGCTCATAACATATATGAGGTGTAGTACACGACTCGAGATAGAAGGTACCGTACTCAATAATTAACGACCAGACCACTGCCGCAGCACAGCGCGCACTGTGAACTAATGCGCGCCATGTGTGCAGGCCCATGGCATGCCAACCACCATTCGGGGAGCTAGCACTCTAGTACACTCCCAGTCGATACTAGTCGATCGTTAGCGGCGCACAGCGCACACGCCTCGAGGCACACCCCGTCGCGCTTCGTGTCCATCCGACCCCTCCCGGCTCGCGCGCCCCTTTTGTGCTGCCGGGCTCGCGTCACACCGAGCCGTGCAGCGCCTTCTCGCCGTTCGCCCGCTCAAAGGAGCCAGCGCGCCGCCCTGCGTTCCGAGCGCGGGACACCAGCGCGAGGGTCACCAGAGACCCAATCAAGGCGCCGAGGGCGAGGCCCACGCCAACTCCCGCCAGGCCGGCGGCGAGGAGATCAAAGCTCGACTCTGTGGTGAGTCTGGCGCCGCCGTCGGAGATCGACGGCTCGCCTGTCTCGTTCCCGCCCGCTTTGATCTCGCAGTTCGCGGTGGGCATCACCGCCTCGACAGCACCGAGGAGATCGAGGCCCGCCGCATCTTGGTCATAGGGCATGGAACGCATGGAGGACGCAGCGGTCATGTAGCTCTCAAAGCAGTCGTTGAAGCACTGGACGAGCTCAATGTAGACGTTGGACGTGCCCGAGTCGTCCGGCGGCGGCGGCGGCGGCGGCGGCGGCGGCGGCGAAGCCGAAGGTGGAGGCGGGGGAGGCGGCGGGGCCGGAGGAGGAGGAGGAGGCAAGATCTCTTGCCCAGGCGGTAGAGGCGACGAGCTGGGGTTTGGTGGGGTAGGTGGAGGCGGCGGTGGTGATGGTGGAGGTGGCGGCGGCGACGGCGGCGGCGGTGGCAGGCTGAGGGGTGGGGCGCCCTCGTTGGGCTGGGCGCCTCCACAGATGCCTCCTCGCCCGCCGGTGCCGACCGCGGTGCAAGCGCAGTCATTTTCGTCAAAGGCATTCCCGTCAAAGCTTGCGCACGGCGGCCCTGCAAAGAAGAAGTAGTCACCGATGACCCCTCCGTCAGCCCAGGGATAGCGGAATGCGTCCCAGGCTGCCCAGGAGATGGAGGTGAACGCGTTCAAGTCCTGCGATGTTGAGGCGTACCCGCCGACAGGCAGGGTCTCGAACGCCGTCATCCTGGGGCTGATCTGGCCAACGTCGACCGCCTGGCTCGTGGGCGTCACTTCCAGGTCGGAGCACTGTGAGTAGAACTCGGGAGGCGACACGTGGATGGCGTACCACTCCCACCGCAGAATGGCGTCGCCACCCGGCAGCCACTGTGGGAGGTCGATGCTGAAGCGTTGGCCGCTCTTGGACTTGCAGTCGGGAACATTGGCGATCTTAAACCACTGCTTCTGCGCCCGGGGCAAGGTCGTGTCGTAGGAGAGGTAAAAGGCGCAGTCGCCGACGTGAAGCGCGGAGAGGTCGTACTGGACATCAATCGTGCTACCCGCCGTGACGGACGTTGGAGGGTACGCGGTGGGGTTCTGCTGCTCGGTCCAGCGGCACGCAAAGCTGTCGCTGTTCCTGTCGACGGGGTCGTTCTCGTATGCTCCGGGCCGGCCAGAGTATGGGACGGGGAAAGTCAGACGTCCGTGGGCGATGACGGAGGAGGGGAGAACCGCCAGCACGAGGTAGGCCATGGTACAGCACGAGAACCGCCAGCTCGAAGAGGCCATTTTAGGAGGGTTCACTACAGTGCTCGCCTGCTCGTCGCGCCGTGCCCAATCGCTTATCACGCGGCAAAGAAAACGAGCTGTTGACCAAAGAAAACGATCCCGCGGGAGTCGGCGGTCACTGGCCTCGACTGGGTGAACCCTGCCCAGCCCCCCTCCGTGTCGCGATGCGCTCCCCGCTCCCGTCCCCCTGTGTCCCTGATCGTCCTTACAAGATCCTGCTCGCGCGGGTGGGGACCCTGTCCTTCTCCCACCCCTTGTTTGGTGTGTCCGTTTTATTTATTTTATTCATACTGGCCTCGACTCACGCATGCTCCAAGTGCTAAACGACGCTCACATGACATCAAGCGATTTTACGACAGCGATTGTGGGGACTACATGATTGATCGTCCGAACGTGAAGGGTGGAGGGGCCCGTCCGCAGAGCTAGGCGGCGCGGGAGCCCCCCACTGGGGCCGAGGGTAAGAGGCCGTTTGCGTCTAGAGAACCGACTCGAGCAGCTGTACAGGGGAGAGCAGCTTCGTCTTTGCGGCGTGGCTCGCGTCCGACATCAGCCACGGGTGATGCTTCCGCTTATGCTGGTACAGGCCGCCGTACGTGACGTACGAGGCGCCGCAGCCCGCCTCCTCGGTCCTCGCAAAAGAAGCTCGCTCGCGCGTTTGGGTCGGCGGGAGGCCGGCCGCGCTTCTTGCGGCTCGCAGCGGGAGCTGGAGCTGTGGGTGTGTTGTTAGCGACCGCCGGCTCTGCAGAACCATTTCGCGCCCGGTTCTCGAGCTTGACCTCGTTGAGCACCGCCGCTCTGTCAGTCCGCGGTGCGAGTCAGTGTCACGAGCCTCCGGCTCCGCCGCTCTGGGGGGGCGCGGGGGCCCCCGGAGGCACCGTGCGCCGCGCCGCAGTGCGGAAACGGGGCCCCGGCGCTCAGAGTCGCTCAGAGCACCAACTTCCCGATTAAGCTAGGTTAATCAGAGGGAAGATTTGGAGAGATCTCGAGGAGTACATACACATAGACCCTCCAACCATCAGAAACCTCCGACCTGATTGGTCGCACTGACCGCCGACAGATCACTCCAGACAGCAGACAGGCCGACGTCTGCACACGGCCGGCCGGGCGAGAGGCTTGACACGATCCGACCCTGCGACCCTGACGCTGGTGCTCTAGTGATCAGACATGCACTGCTGACTGCTGCCACAATGTGCGACCTGTGCTGGCCCACTTGGCGGCCTTCCCGGTCAGTGGTGAGGCGCAGTTCAGAGCTGTCGATGGCGCGATGCCGCACTGGTCCCACATTGGTGACACTAGACCACCAAGTTTGCCGGTCCAAGAGAGAGGCACCGGCGCTGTCCTGAGAAGGTGCGTGGTCCCTCTTGACTGCCCATGCGCGCGAGGCTGTGTAGGCATAGCCTCGAGAGTGCCAGCAGCCAATCCGAGGCAGTTTGTGACGCGCATTGCGTCAGAAGCGTGCACACAATGGAAGGACACCTTCCTGGCCGTAGGATCAGGTCGTCACTGAATGCTTGATACTAAGGCCGCGCGAGCTATGCAGGTGATCAATTGTGCAGCATGGCACGGGCAGCAGCGCCGAAAGGATGTTGCAAGGCGTGATAGCATGGCCGCAAGTTCGCCGAGCTCCCCCATGAAAACAAGTAAAAAATCGCCGAAAAATTCCGAAAAAATCGGCGCCTGCGGCGGGCCATGGGACCCCATCTCCCCCCCGCATGGACACCCCCTCTGGCGTCTGGGGCCCCCGCGCCGGGCGGCCCAGAGCTCCGCCGCCCGCCCCCGACACGGCGACGCGCCAAGAGCCCACCCAGCGCGCAGGGAGAGATCTCGTGACGCCGCTCGCAGCTCGGGCTCTCCATCACTGGAGCTGGGGTGTGTGGCTGTATTTGGGAATTGCTATTCAACGCACGAGACACACAGCTTTCGCGCGGAGAGAGACGCATGGAGCACATCATTCCACGCTCGCCATGCGGTCGGACTCTCTTGGGACATCGAGTGTGATACTACGGTGTGCCTTTGACCGCGAGCGCGAGAGTCAAAAGAGGGAGAGAGCGAGAGAGTGAGAGATGGCGCGGCGTGCAGGACATGGACGTAGAGGAGAGCGGGAGGTGCCGTGCTACGCCGAGGGGCGCTGCCCTCAGGGCGGTGGCGCGGCTACCGACAGGAGCTCGAGCTCGTACTGCAGCTTCGCGTTGGGCGGCACCAGGTACTCTGAGCCGCCATCCTTAGTCTCGATCTTGATGCCCTTTTCTCCGTACGCCATCGCCGGCGGCACCTGGATCACGCGCTTGCCCCCCTCCTTCATCGTCGCCAGCGCCTCCTCCACACCGGGGTTGAGGATCGGCTGCTTCTTGAACTTTGCCGCGATTGGCTTGCGCCCAGGCCCCTCACTGCTGTCAAACATCTGGCCGGATGGAAGGTATGCCTTGTACTTCAGCTTGATCAGATCTCCGGCCTGCGGCACGCAAGCGACGTTGAAGGTGCCGCACTTGCCAACCTCGAGATCAAAGTACTTGACGCCGCCCTCCGTCTCAAAAAACTGCGGCGCCGCCGCCAAAGCAGGCTTCTCGAGCAGGAGCGCCGCAGCAGCCGCAGCACCAGACACGAGCTCCCTGCGCCCCACCGGCGCGGCAAATTGCTTCACAGCGGGCCTCGACTGAGGCAGCACAGCGACGGCGTGAATTAAGGCCGCATACATGCCTGCTGGAGAGGACGCAGGCCGCGGCAATCGAAGCAGCTCGAGAATCGAAGCAGCTGCGCCAGGAGAGCTCGCACAGGAAGAAAATACAGAAGGGGAGAGGCGCCACGCCAGGCACACGGAACTCGCAGCTCGTTTTCCGCTTCTCCCAAACGCCAAACCTACACCAAACACAACCTAATCCTCTCACAGTTACATACAGTCCCACACAACGGGCTCTGCAGCCTGCGCTCGGCACCGGGCACCGCCTCGGTATACAAAATGCGCCTGCGGGCGGACCCTTACAGATCACAGATCACAGTCCCACACAACACCTACACCTCACGCACACACCTCGGCCGCCTCCCCGGAGGTGAGCCACGGCCTGCACCCGTCGAGCTCGCACTCCTCCTCCCCCTCTTCCTGCCCCGCACCCACCGCCACCGTGGAGCCGCCGGGCTCCTCCCCGCACGCGCCACCCGCCAGGTCGTCGAGTGCCGCCTTGGCCGCGTCGACGGCTCGCGCGCCGAGCCGCACCAGGGCGAACGCCGCCGCCAGGCCGAGGGCGCAGGCCGGAAGCAGCGGCCGCCCATGCAGCGCGCCGCGGGCGAGGAGCAGCTGCTTGCCGAGCGCGGCAGAGGAGAGTATGGCCACGCTGCCGGGCAGGTTGCCCAGCGCCGTGGCGGCCATGTAGGAGGTGCCGCTCACGCCGGTGAGGCCGTACAGAAAGTTGATCGCGGGCACCGGCGTCGGGATCAGGCGCAGCAGGAAGACGGCACGGAACCCGCCCCTGGTGATCGCACGGTCGATGAAGGAGAACTGGCGCTCTGTCGTCGGCATCTTTTGCAGCTGGCTTCGGACGCGGTCCTGCAGCAGCATCCGGCCAATGAAGAAGGCCGCGGTGGCGGCGGCAACGCCACCGGTGAGGACTATGGCGAGCGCGGTCGGGAAATCGAACATGGCTCCGCAGAGCGGCGCGAGGCCGATGTTGAGTGGGATGAGGAGGTCGCAAAAGGCATAGAGCAGACCGAAGAGCAAGGGGCTCGTGAGCTTGGCGACGGCGGCGGCCGCTCCGATGCCGGCGGCGTGGGGTTGTGACGCGGCGGCGAGGAGGCCGTCGAGAGCGGCGATGGGCTTCCCTGCTCGGGGCACCGCTCGTCGGCTGATGAATGCGAGCTGCGGCATCGTGCTGGTGAAGGCGCGTGGAGCGGCGAGAATCGGCAGTCCCTGCACACCTCGTTGTCCCTGCACACCTCCTGGCGGCGAGAGCAGTACGGCGGCGAGAGGCGGCGCCGTGAACACCAGCATTGCCCACCAAAATTGGGGGTTTCTGATAGCGAAAAAGAGAAACACGCACGGGCTAGAACACAACGCACTCTCAATGTCGTTGCAGCGAGAAGGGCGGAGCTGCGCCGAAAGGCGCAAGAAGCCGCGAGAGCAAGGGACCGGCAGGAGGCGGCGGCGCCGCAGAACGAAGCAGAGGAGAGCGACGCGACAGTAGAAGAAGAGACAAGGGAAAGAACGACGAGAAGGGGGCGACCGCGAGGTGGCATGAAGGTCGCAGCGAGAATCTGCGAGAGACTGCGAAGAGAGATAGGAAGAGGCGGACGCCCAAGGGTGGGCGACGGCTAGCGCATCACACCCCTCTCCTTAAAATCCCTGTGTGGTGGCGGCGTGCCGTCCTCCCATCCCTCCCTTGGGTTGTCTGTTTTCTTTCTTTCTTTCTTTCTCATGTCGTGTCCCTTGTCAGGAGCAGCAGAGCCCCACCTGTCCCCCTGATCGTCCTTCCAAAATCCTGCTCGTGCAGGTGGGGACCCTGTCCTCCTCCCCCATCCCTCGTTTGGCTTGTCTGTTTTCTTTCTTTCTTTTCTCTCACATGACAAGCGATCCCACGTCAGCGATTGTGAAAAAAGAAAAATTAATTGGGGGTGCCTAAGCCAGCCAAACCTGCCCAGGGTTCCAACTTTTTCCGGGGTATGGTATGGTACGCTCACGGCCCAAAGGGTGGGGGGGTATGGTCCTGACCGCCCAAGGCTAGCCCTCGACAGGGGTGGGGGGGTATGGTCCCTCGGCCCCTCCCTCTACTGCCGCCGCCGAGCCCGCAGCGCCATGAGGTAGGAACAGGCGCCCGTGTCGCAGAGCTGCTGCAGCTGCTCCACACTCCACTCGCCGACACCCTTCTGGTTGCGGAGCGCCTCAATGTCGCGCGAATCAACATAGCCGTCGCTCATGGCAAGATCTCGAACGCCAGCCGTCCAAGTTGGTTGACCTTTGTGTTGTGCGGCGACGAACAGCCGAACAGGATCTGAGCAAGCTGGTGGGGCTC